TACTTTGGTTACTCTGCAGCTAATTAAGATGCTTTCTTCTTCACAAGACTGCCCTTACTGCCGGATCCTGTGTCGTGGTGAGCACCAGGAGACCAGGGCAGTCATGAGAGTAATGGGCAGGTGCAGGGAGGTGCGTGCATCTCCGGCTGGCTTGTCTGGCTTCTTATCTTTAGGTAAATCCTATTAGCTTCTTCCTTGAGCCGTTTCCTTCCAGTGGAACTGAGCAAGTGAAGTTGGGAGCTGGTGTCCAGCTGGTCTAGTCCTGTATTCTTCCAGTATTTGCCCAGCACTTCTTTAGAAAACATCCTGGAAGAGCAGAGATGAAGAAGAGCCATGCTTGCCCCCCAACTTGCCTGCGCCCCTCAGCCAAGCAGGTGCCGGGGCTGAACTGGGCACCCCCCCTCCCCGGAAAGCCTGTCCCAGGCCTCCTGGGCCCAAGCAAACAGTAGTCGCCTCCCTGAAATGAGTTCTGGTTAGTACAGCATTCTCCCTCACCCCTTTAAAATGGTGGTAAAACACACGTAACATAAATGGTTACTGTCTTAATCATTTTAAGTGTACAGTTCAGTACACGTCGTGTAAGCACATTCACACTCTTGTGAATCACCACCATCCGGCTCCAGCTTTGGTTTCTTCTCCTGAATGAAGCTCTAACCCATTAGACACTAACTGCGCTTCCTTCCTCCCTGCAGCCCCTGGTAATCTCGGTTCTGCTTCCGGTTTCCGGGGGTTTACATAGAAGGAGAAGCCTACATACGGTATTTGTCCTTTTGTGACTGGCTTATTTCACTTAGCGTGATGTCCTCTGGGTTTGTCCATGTTGTATATATAACGTATATCTGAATTTTCTTCCTTTTTAAGGCTGACTCATAGCCCATTGTGTGTATGTACCATAGTTTATTTATCTACTCAGCCATCGATGGACACTTGGGTGGTTTCCACCTTTTGGCCATTGTCAGAACGCTTCTGTGAGTATGGGTGTGCAAATATCTCTTTGAGACCCTGCTTTCGGTTTTCTTGGGTATATATTTCGAAGTGGAATGGCTGGGTCATATGGTAATTCTATTTTTAATTTTCAGAGGAACTGTGTTCTGTACTGTTCCATCCATAGTGCGGCACCATTTTGCATTCCTACCAACAGTGCACATGGGTTCCAATTTCTTCCCAGCCTCGCCAACCCTTGCTTCTTCCTGTGCTTGAGAGAGTAGCCATCCAGGTGGTCTCCTTTGTAAAAAACATTCAGCGGCCAGTTAAAGCAGCCCCTGTCGGTGTTGAGGAGAGTTCCCGGGAGCGTATTGCCAGGTGGGGCCATGACCCTGGTCATCATTTGTCCAGAATTGTGGAACAGATGCCCTGCTTCCAAGAGGAGGCATTTTCAGATTTCCAAATAAGTTGTTCGATAGAGTGGGTAGCTAAAGATAATCAAAACAACTTTCGATTATTTGTGGTGGGAAAACTACACCAGGCCAATCCCGTGGCACGCACGGAGGGGCGATCCCCGGACCGGGAATCGGGAAGTCAGAGTCCAGCTCCATCTCTGTGAGGTGGGGAGTGCTGCCCGTCACTTCCCACTTCTGGCCTTATTTCTTTGAAACGACGCTGTCGGACTAACAGCCCAGGGTCCTGCCACCTTCGAGATCTTCAGATTCTGCGCAATAACCTTGAGTTTGTTCACCGACGGGGGGAGGGATGCTTTATTGTGAGGACAAGAGAGGGAGTGCCATTTCACTTGAATTACTAAAGATGCCCTTTCAGGCTTCATCTTGGGGCCGTCGGAGCTGGAATTGGATCTTGCGGGTCATCCAGGCCGACGTCCTCGTCTTACAGATGAGGGGCCGGGATGCAGACGTGTGGTCACACCATCCAGTTACGAGCTTTCTCTTGGTTGCGACTACAGAGGTTGGCCGGCGGGTCCTCCGGGGCCGCGTGAGCAGCCTCAGAGGCGAGGGCATGGGTTCCGGCCTTGCTGCAGGAGACGGTTACCTGTCAGCGACCGGCGAGGCCCACAGCTGAGGGCCATGAAGTCGGGAGGGGGGCTGTGGAACCAAAACAGAGGTGGCTTCAGGCCCAGGCCTGTGCCCTTGGGCATTTGCTTCATTGCACTTTTGCTTGTCCTTAGTTTGTTGGTCTGAAAGGCCTCGTACCCACAGCATTGTCGTGAATACCACTGGGGCACGAGGTCATGTGGAAGCAGTCGTACAAGAATGTTGTTCATACTGCTTGTGGTTAGCTGCAGGGTTAGAGGTTTACCCCTCTTGGTAAGCACCGTATGTTAAAATCTACATCGAACATTGATGTGATGGTTTGCTTGTTTGTTTTTTTTTTTTGCAAAATGATTCCCTATAAGAAGTATCAGGGTTCCTGGCGCCTGGCTGGCTCAGACCGTAGAGCCTGCCGCGCTCGATCTCAGGGTCATGAGTTCAAGCCCCATGTTGGGCATAAAGCTTACTAACAAAAACCCCCAAAACAGAAAAAGGAGGTATCAGCGTTCCAAAGAATCTGTTTTTGCATTTTTCATCTCTTCAGGAACTGTCTCCTCTCCCGTTTTGCAAGAAGTTAATTAGCTTGCATGGCCACACAGACTTCGAAGTTGCGCGGTTTTCTGTTTTTGCGGCCATGTGACTTGTGTCAGCGGTGGGAGCCCGACCACCCGGTGCCCGACTCCATCTAAGGGTGGCTGGCCTGTGTGCATCTCTGCTTGTGTTCATAGAGGGTCTGCTCGTTGCTCGTCTGAGGGAGGTGGGCACTCAATACACAGGGTGTCATTTAAAATTGTGAAATGAGCCACTGAGGGCTTTCTTCTGTTCTTTGTAGGTTTTGTCACTGCTTTTAGGGCTCTCGCCTCTTCTAACTTAGCCTCGACTCAGCGGTTCATGTTTGCCCACGGTGTGCAGGGCTTTTGACCAACCAACTGTAAACCTCAGTTTCCTTATTTCTAAAGTGGGGGTGCTAATACCACTTCTGCTTATGTTGCAGGGGTTGAGGTGAGGCTTATGAAAGGTAGTTTTTGGGGCGCCTGGGTGGCTCAGTTGTTAAGCATCTGCCTTCGGCTCAGGTCAGGATCCCAGGGTCCTGGGACCGAGCCCTGCGTCGGGCTTCTTTCCGCTTCAGCGGAAAGCCTGCTTCTCCCTCCCCCACTCTCCCTGCTTGTGTTCCCTCTCTCGCTGTGTCTCTCTCTGTCAAATAAATAAATAAAATCTTTAAAAAGAAAAAAAAAAGGTAGTTTTTGGTTTTTTCAACTTGCAAAGACAAGGCTTGATCCTTGGCCTCAAGGACAATCTGGCTTTGCTGAGTGACAGGAAAACCACACGACAAAATAGAGACACATCTGAGCGAGGAAGTTCACAGAACCAAACTGTGCAGACAGGTCAGGGACAGATGTGTATATGCAAGGTGGTGGTCGCTGGGATCATTGTAAGGGACCCGAAGTGGGTGGGGTCAGCATGGTCCCTTGCGCCCCCATGTAGGGTAGGTAGTCGCTTTGAAGAATTGGGGCATGATGGTTGGGAGAGAGGGTGAGGTCTTGGGATCCAGCGATTGGAAGTCACAATGTGCGGACCTTTCATGCTTGGATGGTGGAAACTGAGGAGGCCAACAAAGTGTTAAGTGCACAGAGAGGAGAGGGGAGCAGCTGTGACTGGGCCAATGTGTGAGAGCAGCTAAGCTGGGGGCAGAAGGGCCCTGTGGGCTGGCAAGAAGGGAGCCCCAAGTGAGCTGCACCCTGAGGCAGGTGCCCCGAGTGAGGGCAGACACCTCTGAGGACAGGCACGTCCCAGGGCAGGGGGTGCCCAGGAGGAAGGCTGCAGGGTTGGCCCTTGTGGGCTGTGGGCCAGTCTGAGGTGTCCGAGTCCCATCTGGGCACGTGACAGGGCCAGACCATGGAACCGGAGGGTGGGCTCTGCCGAGGTGGGCAGTCGGGCAGGTGAGGACGGGCACCAAGGCGGTTGTGGCAGCCAGAGCTGTGGAAAGAGGCCCAGAGCATGGCGCCAGCTCACTGAGGGTCCTCTGACCCCGAGCCTCTCTCCAACTGTCCCTCCACCTCCATTTCCTCGTTACTGCCTCCTTTGAGGCTGGCGTCTTAGAAACGTCTGGACCTCCCAGCGTGGCTCCAAGTCTCCATCCTTCCCTGCATCTTCTCTGTGGCAGGCATAGCCCCTCCGGCCGGCCTCCTGAGCACCTGTCCCTGCTGGTGTCTGCCCTCCTTCCCGGCCTTCTCCGCCTCCCTCTGCTCTGGCCCCTCCTGTTGACTTAAAACACACGGAACAACACTGACATATATTTTAGTTCCCTGTGTTTACTTCTGTCTCCTTCATGAGGCTGTAAGTCCCTTCAGGGGATAGGGACTTTGTCTTTTTTATCTCCGTGTCGCCAGCACCAGGCTGGGTATAGAGTAGACGCCACATGTTTGCTGACCGGCCTTCAGTTGATGAGCCGGGCAGACCCACCGGAGCGGAGCCCGCGCTTCCCCTGCGGCTGCCGTGGGGCAGAATCCGATGAGGCAGACCGACACCAGGATGGAAATTATTCCAAATAAAAAGTCAACTTTTTTCCTTCTCGAGTACAAAGAGTCATTTTTTTCCCCCAACTAATATTATTGAATGCCTACTTGATTTGGCGTGGTGGGGGCTAGATCCTAAGAGGTATAAAGTACAGTCTCTTTTCTCAAGAGTCTTAAGATGTAGCTGTAGAACCTGCAGATAACGACAGAGCCGGGCACAGCTGGCAAGGGCCATCAGGGTGCTGTGAGCAGGTGCCAGCGCCCCAGCGGGGAGGAGCCCTGCGCTCTCTGAGATGAGGCTTCCCGGGGTCGGCAGGGTGGAGGTTGGCGGGCTTGCTGACTGGGTGGGGGTAGATGGGCAGTGGGGGCGGGTGTCATGGAGCCCATTCCAGGGGAGCAGAATGCAGTCGAGCTAGTGTAATGATGACGAGCTCATCTGGACTGGCTCCAGATGGATGCCTTCTCTGAATTAACTGATCGTGAGTCTGTCTCTGTTTTCTAGACTCAAACCATGAATTACGTGGGGCAGTTGGCGGGCCAGGTGTTTGTCACCGTGAAGGAACTCTACAAGGGGCTGAACCCTGCCACCCTGTCCGGATGTATTGATATCATCGTTGTCCGCCAGCCCAACGGGAGCCTGCAGTGCTCCCCTTTCCACGTGCGCTTTGGGAAGATGGGGGTCCTGCGTTCCCGAGAGAAAGTGGTAAGAGCATAGGACCCGGTGACCTGGCGGAGGGGCAGTTTCTCTCTTTAGAGAAGATCATCGTGTTTCTGTCTTTGAAGATTTTATTTATTTATTTGACAGAGAGAGACACAGCAAGAGAGGGAACACAAGCAGGGGGAGTGGGAGAGGGAGAAGCAGGCTTCCCACAGAGCAGGGAGCCCGATGCGGGGCTCGATCCCAGGACCCTGAGATCATGACCTCAGCCGAAGGCAGGCGCTTAACTGACTGAGCCACCCAGGTTCCCCTCGTGTTTCTGTCTTTAGACAGAGCTTTAAGCCTCCTTTAGGAGCTGAGGCTTCACACTGGAAAGGTCTGGTCACTGAATTGACAAGTACTCACTTGAAGTTAAATTATTCCGAAACATAGGGGCAAAAATCAACTACTTATTAAGCTCACGGGTTGTGTGAGTCAGAAATTCAGACCAAGTGCAGCGGGGCTAGTTTTTCTCTGCCTTCTGCCATCTGGAGCCTCAGCTGGAAGACCCACTCTAAAGAGGTGCTCACTTGCGCGGCCGGGGGCTCCTGGCTGGGCTCTCCACTGAGGCTGTTGGCCAGGACGCCTACACATGGCCTCTGCATGTGGCCTGGGTGGCCGCCCAACATGGCAGCCAGATACAGGGTGAGCCTCTCCAGAGGAAAGCCGCGGAAGTTCATAGAGCCTCTCCTGCAGCGCTCTGCTGGCTGGGGCAATCACAAGCTTCCCCGGGCACGGGGTCGGGGGTGGGAGCAGGGAGACTCCATTTCTGATGGGTGGATTGATTGGGATGTGGAATTGTGAGATCATTTTGGGATATATGTGATTAGAGGATGCCTATGTAAAGACATAGCATCCCCCGTGAGGTTTCCTGTTTTAGTGAGGTGTGTTTTTCTTTCAGGTTGACATAGAAATCAACGGGGAATCTGTGGATTTGCACATGAAATTGGGAGATAATGGAGAAGCATTTTTTGTTCAAGAGACGGATAATGATCAGGTAAGGAAGGCTGTGGGTGGTGACTGTGACTTCCTAGTTTTGAATTTTGAGCAATGCTTATCTAGAGGGCCCAGCGGAGTGTGTGTCTCGGAGAAGTAACACTGGTGCTGGGTGGTGGAGACCACCGCAGCAGAGAGGTGTGGCTGTTGATCTGTACCAGGGATCTGTGAGCCCGACAGGGTGGGTGCGAGCTGTGTCCACACAAGGCTCAGCAGTCCTGGCCTGCTTCCGCGTGCTCACTGTTTCCAAGGAGACAGGAACCGAATCACATCCGAGCTGTTGTCCGAAGCATACAGGTTATACTGGTGTGTCGAATCTCAGAGGGCTTAGTGTTCTAGTTTTTGTGCAGTGAGTGACCAAATCACTTTCATTTTTTTATTACTTAAAAAATTTTTAAACAGCTCTATAAAGATACAGCTTGTGTACCATACAGTTTCTCTGTTTCAAGTATACAGTTCGGTGGTTTTCAGTCTTCTAAGGTATGTCGCCACAGTCAATTTTAGGACATTTTCATCCCCCCAAAAAGAAACCCGGTGCCCTGTAGCTTATCACTTACCTATCCCCAAGCCCCCACCCCGTCACCTTCCTGCACCCTCAGCGGCCACTCTTTTATTTTCTGTTTCTCTAGATTTCCCTGTTCTGAACTTTCACACAAATGCAGTCCTAAGTATGTTGTCATTTACGCCTGGCTTCCTTCACTTCTCATAATGTTGTCAGGGCTCACCCATACCGTAGCCGGGCTCAGGATGTCATCCCTTTGTAGGGCTGAGTCATCGCCCGTGGTATCCGCAACCACATTTTTTAGCCTTTTGTGGGTTCGTGGACATTTGGGTTGTGTCTGCCTTTTGTAAGCCACTGGGAATAATGCCGCTGTGAGCATTCACTCTTTCCTTCTTTGAGAAAGCCACGTGGAAGGGATCCTGTGTTGTATTCCTCACGAAAATCCACTTAGACTAGTTGCTTTATGGGAAGATAGCATGATTCAAAAGGAACAGCTCTAAATAGCTGCAGGCTCGAAAATGAACGTCCATAGTTTCAGTTTCAGAATAAAACTGTCCCAGGTTCTTCTTTTTGGTGTGCCCAAAGGTGTGACATAACAGGAGGACCAGCATGCTCATCCTGTGCCCCCATCTTCTGTAATTACCCCTTCTGTAGTTACTTCCCTATTTAAAGGGAAGTTTCTGAGAATCATTCATTCACGATTATTAATTCTTTCCATCTCAAATGGATACTTGCCTTTTAAATTTCTGCTGTCCCTTAGCTGTGGACAGATTTTACACTGTGGGAGTTGAAGAAGTGTTTTGGGCGAGGCCTCCATGGAAGCTGCAGGGTCTTGGGCCTGCTCCGCCGGCCTTAAGGGTGCCTGTGGGTGGGATGGGGCTTCGGAGTCCAGAGTATGTTCTGCCCCTTACAGATGCCCCTGGCTACCCCTGGAAGGCTGCAGGAAGTTGGGGGAGCCTGTGTCCCTCATCACCAGATTGCCCCAGGTTGGAGTCCCCCTCCGTTTGTGGAGGTCTGTCCCTTCCCTATCCAGTCCGGACCCTCGTTTGCTCTTAACCCCATGTCAGCACTGTAGGCTTTTCTTCTTCGTTTGGCCCATTGAGCAGCTGGGCAAGATGACCCCTCACCACTCAGCCTGAGGCTTGGTCTTTCAGATGTTCATTGTATACCTGCAGCACCTTGGGTGTTCTCGAAACCACTGTAAAGGGTCAGCAGCGGGTTTCTGTTTCTCTCTTCTCCTTTGTATATATTCTTTACTTCTTGTTACCAAGTGGATCATAATAAATAAGTCATTAATAAAATGATCGTTAATAGTTTTTAAAAAACTGGTAAATCATTATTAAATAACTTAAATGAACAGGCCATGTATTTTTTCCTTTTTAGGAAGAGAGTCAGGATCTAATTATTAAACGTCCGTATACCTGGATGCCCTCTGGTGTAGGCAGGCATTTGCGATGGAGGGCTGTCAGCTGTATTTTTGTTTTTAATTACTGTCATCTTAATTCAGTGCATATTAAAAAACGCATACACATTCTCTTTTACATGCAATCACATGCACGCACACACACATACACACACCCACACACCCCACCACCCACACTCACCCTCCTCACACCTACCCACCCCCACACTGAAATGCAAATTGAGTCCAGTTCCCAGGTAATGTGATGACTCAAAGCTCATTTCCCTCTTTACTTTGGATAATTCAAACAAAGTTGACTTTGGGTGGCCTGAAATCACTCATGACCTCGCTTTGTTACAATTATGAAAATGCAGGATTCGGTACAAATGGCATTGAATGCGTTGTTGACTTCGTGGTCAGCTGTCCAATCTGGCACTGTGCCTCCAGCCATGGCGGCTGTGACCGTTAGGCCCCCTGCCCCGCGTGGCCCTCCGCAAGGGCGCTTGCGCTCCTAAAGGACCATCCGCCGGCCTTTGGCACCGCCCTGCTCCTTAAACCCAAACTAGTGAGACTCTTTGAAAACTAATTTCTGTCCTTTAGGAAGTGATCCCCATGTACCTGGCCACCTCCCCTATCCTGTCGGAGGGAGCCTTGCGCATGGAGTGTCAGATGAAAAGGAGCTCTGCAGACAGGATCAGAAACCTGGACCCCAGCACATCGGGCCAGGCCGTACCCCCCAGTGAGGCCCCTTCGAGCGGCTCTTTAGTGAAGAAGAGGAGGAAGAGGAGGAGAAAGTCCCAGCTGGACACCCTGAAAAGAGACGACAGCGTGAACACGTCCGAAGATGAGGACATGTTTCCCATAGAGATGAGCTCGGACGACCAGGCCGACCCGCTGGACGACAGTAGGTAAATGTGCATGAAAGGCGAGATCTGTGTCGGGGTGCATTCATTCTTTGAGATGATTCTTGCAAACTCTTTCCTCCCTCCCGCCCCGGTATGCCCTCTTCTTCTTTTTTTAAAAATCTTATTTATTAGAGCGAGCGAGCATGAGCAGGAGCTGGTGGGAGGGGCAGAGGGAGAGGGAGAGGGAGAAGCAGACTCCCCGCTGAACAGGGAGCCCGATGCGGGACTCGATCCCAGGACCCGGGATCACGACCTGAGCTGAAGGCAGACACTTAACCGACTGAGCCCCCCAGGTGCCCCACTATTCCTTATTCTTATGTGAGTGCATTTTAGACTGAGTTTTAGAACTCTGTGGACCCAACCTCAAGGAGCATAAAGATCTGAGGTAGCTTACAACTACAAGGCAGTTGGTGGTACCCGACCTCCTCGTCTGGTTGCTTCAGCATCCAGGACAGAACCAAGGGACAGAGAAGTGAGCAAACTAATACTTCATGCACTAAACTGTTGTTTCAGAGCCTGCTTGCTCTGATTTGGGCCCCGACTATGGACCTGGCCGTTGGGCTGATGTGTGGCTGGGGACTGATCTGTGACAGCCTTCAGGTTACAAGTACATGTGCAACGTGACCAGTTTTTTCTCCAAGCAGACTTTTCCTTTTCAGTTTTGACTAGGCCTGAGGTTTCATGGTCGTCTTGCTCACCTTTTCTTTGCTTTTAGCAGGGTGGTGAAATTTGGTTTCTGTGTATTACTATTTTAGTGCAAATGGCCAGTTTTAAAAGAGAAAACTCATCTGTAAAGTATACTTGATATTTCAGATCTTTATGTAATTCAGTATAATTTTTCTTTTTTTTTTTAGAGGGGGGGTGGAGGGGCAGAGGGAGAGAGAATCTCAAGCAGACGTCCTGCTGAGCACAGCGCCTGATGCAGGGCTCGATCTCACGACCCTGAGATCAGGACCTGAGCCGAAGTCAAGAGTCGGGCGCTTAACCGCAGGAGCCACCCAGGCACCCCTAAAATTCAGTATAATTTCTGATAATTATTTTTGTATCTTGCTAACATAAAGAAGGGATAACGAACATCAAGAGTATCCCTCTGCTTCATTATCCAAAATAGGATTTATCCCCCACTTGGCTAAAAATACGGGCAAATTGGCAATGTCACTTTTCCTAACTATAGCCTCTAATCAGCTGTAGGCTCAGAAACTGGTGGTTGGGCTTATTATAGTTGCCATCCCTGCATGGCTTTTAATTCCAGAACTTAGTGATGGATATTTCAGGGAACATCAAAAGTATGGGTAGATGGCCTCTGTGTGACTGAAAGAGCGAATCGTATTTTTTTAATGGATGCTTTCTACCTGAAATGAGGTAGCTTTGCAGTCATTTTGTAATTATAAGATTCATTTGGTTTATATCATTTATTTATTCTGCCAGATGAAGCATGGTCTGTGTGTGATCATTCAGTTACTCGGCAGCCCTACCCGTGGACAGTAAGACTTCTCAGCCTCCTGGGCCCAGTTTCGGGGCTGCAGGATCACCATTGTGCATGTCTGTCAGCTCAGAGGCTTGAATACAGTCATTTTACGTTTATAATCCAGCCAAAGCATGAACACATTTTTGTGTGTCTTTGTCTCATGTTTTTCCTCTCCACTGCCTGCAATGTGTGTGGGTGGGTCAGAAAGAGATCATGTTCATCTACAATGAACTTAGATAATCAGGGTAAAAGGGAAACTTGCCTTTACTGTGAATCTATCACTAATAATCACTAATAGTTCTTTGATGTTAGTCTTTGTTTTTTGTTTTGTTTTCCCTCCAGAACTCTTCCTAATGATATACCTGCATTCCAAGAAGATGTTTCTAAAGAAAGCCCTTCCCCCATCATGACTTACCCTCAGTCAGCTTCGTACCCTAATTCTGATAGAGAGTGGTCACCCAGCGCCAGGTAAGTTGCTGGGGGAAGTGTGTGCGTTTGTTCACCCCGGTCCGGAGGATTTAAAGTCAGTGACAGGAAGCGTGTCTAATAAAATAGTGAAATATAAGTAAAACGCGAAAAAATGCAGTTTAGAGTAGGAAGTACAGATCAGGATTGAAAAAGGACATGTGCAGGCCATAAACTTCTGATATCATCATCAGGCTGCAAATCTGGCTCTTCACTCCCCGCAGGTGACCTTGAAAGCAAAACCACTCTGGTTCCTCAGGGCTAATTGTCAGCAGGAGAAAACAGATGGCCGAGCCTTTTTTGACACTTAGCCCTCAAGTACGATTCAGGAGCCACCAAGGTGGTTCTGGGCTGTTAGAATGATGCCTTTGCCCCATGCTTAACCCCTTCTGCTGAGGTCAGGAATATTTCGTATAACTCTGATGTTGCCCTAGAATTGGGTGTAAACTTGGAGAACCAGACCTGCTCAGGCTACGGATTGCCATCCGGAAGATCCCAGAGACTTGTAGTCAGTGAGACCTCTGGGAATATGTGAGCCCTTCAGAGCCCTTCTCAGAAGGACCGGGGCGGGGGCAGATCTAAACTGAGTGTTCTCAGCAGGGACCATATCACCCCCATTGGGACAAACATTGGTTCTTGGGCAACAAAGAATTCTTAGATATTATAATGGCTTGTGGCCTCCACGGGGCCTCACATATAAGCAGGTTCAGAGTCCATCTGTGGTGTTCAAGTTTCATGGTGGAGAGAGGACCACAGCAGGGTGGGGTGGGGGGAAGCCTCAGCTGTCCAGAGGTGCGCTAACAATGAAAGAGGTTGAGAAACACCGATCTTAGTGACAGGGACATCCTTGGATTCTTCTTCTTCTTCTTTTTTTTTTTTTTTTAAAGATTTTATCTTATTTATTTGAGAGAGAGAGAGAGAACAATGAATGAGCAGTGGGTGGGGGGCAGAGGGAGAGGGAGAAGCAGGCTCCCAGAGGAGCAGGGAGCCCGATGCCGGGCTCGATCCCAGGACCCCCAGATCATGACCTGAGCTGAAGGCAGACGCTTGACCGGCTGAGCCTCCCAGGCGCCCCAACCTTGGATCATTCTTGTTCCTCATGTTTTAGATGTACTTGTGGTTTGCAGTGGAAGTGTAGGAACCCTGCTGCAAAGGCTCCCTGCCTAAAGCCAGGGTCCTCCCAACACCACTCCTCGTTCCAGTTTCACCAGAGTGATCTCGCCAGTGGGACAGCACAGTGAGCAGTGTGTGCTGGAGCCCGAGCCCGAGTCCGAGAGAACTATATAGGTCCCGTGCCTGGTTCCAGCCAGGACCAGGACCGGGAGTGTTAGTCCGCCAGGGTGGGGCTGGGGGCCTAGCAGATGTCCTTGTGGAGGTCTGTCTGCAGACCCGCCCCATGTAAGAGAAACAGAATGCTGGCTACCTAGGACATTTACAGTCTTGTAGCAGCCAGCCTTAGAGGGTAAAAAGAAACTGAAAAAGTTCACTTTGATGATGGAGTTCCTTTGACCCAGCATATCCAAAATATCATCAAGTCGTTCTCACGAAGTTCTTAATGAGATATCTCACGTTCTTGTTTTCATACTAAGTCCTTGAGGTCATTGTGTATGTCACGTGTAAGGACCACCCCGGTTTGGACATGTCACACTTCACGTGCTCGATAGCCACATGACGCTGGTGGCTGTCATAATGGACAGTGCAGATACTAGGCCTTTCTGGAACCTCCCACATCGTCTCCCTAGGTCTGTGAAAATGCACCCTAAGGAGGGAAAAAGATGGTACCTTAGGAAGAAAATTACGTGGGATGGTTAAAAACCAGTATTAGGTTGAAAAATCTGTTCAAGCACTCTACATTAATTTTAAGAGTTTCAAATAAATGTTTAAAACACACCCCTGGATATGTTCCCCTGTCTTTCATGATTTGCTGTATGAATCCGGAATAGCGACTCTGTCACATCGTGTGGGTCTGACTGCTGTCAAGTGCAATGACAAATTAGGATAAATAGATACATTTCCATACGTGGAATTATGTATTTTCTTTAAAGAGACAACTGGCAGCAGAAACGATCAATTCTTTGGAGAATGTAGTTTGATTAAGCACTAAATTCTGACCAGAGAACAACAATCTTTTATGGCCATATGGATGAAATAGAAAGTGAAATGAGTCTTTTGGCAGTTTCCTGTTCTTATGGTTCAAAAAAATCCATGTTGATTTCTGAGTGATTTCAACAGAGAGTGTTCTGCTGTTGTCAGATGCTTAACTATGTTCATTTTCTTACAAATGCTTTTGTGGAGAGTAGTCAAAGAATTTGTATGAAGTTCAGTTTAATTGACCTATGATTTTTCTTTCTTTTTAATGTATATCACGTGGTATCCAGTAGCCCGATAGATTGCCAAGGGGCTGCCCCCCGCTTGGCGGTCGCGGCCGAGGGAGGCCTTTCTAGCTCTTGCCCTCCACGGTCTTCCCACCTCCATGCTTCGGAAAGGTACAGGGGCTCTCTCCCCCGCTTGGATGTCTTCAATAATAAAAACTATGATCTAACTCTTACAAGTCTGTTTACCATTGACCAAATCACTTACGTGGAAAACACATAGAGACTGTATAAGTGAAACCTTTGATCTAACCCTTACAAATCTACTTGACTCACCAAATCACTTAGGAAGGAAATACATATAGATGATTATTTGCCTTTGATTTTAAGCATTTGTAGATTATTAGATCTTTTTTTTTTTCCACAACTAAATTTGATTCTCTGGAAATTACTTATGGCTAAGTATATAGTTCTTCCTAATTTTGTGGAGTGCTTTGCAAAATAGAATAATGAAATAAAAATTGGTAATAAGATTTTTGCTTTGTGTCTAGGGTTGTTCAACATATAAGTTTATAAGATCTTTCGTATAAGGGGGGTTATTATAGCTCTTTAATTAGCTTCTTAGACTGTCTGAATAATGGAGTCCTGTTGCCCCAGCTTTTCTAGAATGGAGTTTTGGGGCGTAGCCTAGGGTGGATCTTAAGGTTTAGGGTCGTAAGTTTATATTTTCCTCTGAGGTTCCTGCCTCCAGTCCCTCCATGTCGTCCACACTCCAAGCTACGTGATGGACGTACATGGTTTATAAACTTTAACAAATGAAGCTCTGATTGACCTCCACATGGGAAACTGTTTTTCTTTTTGATTAAAGAGCCAACTCTCAGGATGTGCTTCATTTGGAGGTTACATGTATAGAGGAAAGGCCATTTTGAAAGGAGGTAAACTAAGCTGTGAACAGTTAAAACTAACTTGCCTAAGTGGGGCTGGCAAACTTCTGAAAACTATTACGTGGTTAATAAATGCATTATTTATGAAAACCAATCATGGACCTTGTGAGCTTACTTTTTTGAACAACCCTTGACCTTAAAAGTCTAGTATTTGATAATGGGAAACTTTGGGACCACCATCTTTCTCCTGAATCACACCCAGTACTGGGACACCTTTCCCTGACTCACCTACGGTCAGTCTGAATTCTGCAGAACGTTGCGTGTGTATTTGCGTCCAGAATCCTTTTGACAAAGGCTGGTGTTGCCCACGTGCTGCCATTTATCCCGGTGGCGTATCAGGCGTGAGAAGTGGGACTCCGAGCTCGTGACTTCCACACAGGGCTCATTTCTCTGTGAATGAGTTTGCAAACCTGAATACCTCTGTGGAAACTTAGGGCTTGTGGTGTTTGTGCAAGGATCGGGATAGTGGGTGTTCTGGAGTTGGCGCCGCAAGAGACCTGTGTTCAGTGTTCGCCTTCTTCTAGAGCAAGGGTTGGCTAACTACAGCCGGTGGGCCAACTGTGATTTTATGGGACTACAGCCAGCTTGTTCACGTATCGTCTATGGCTGCTTTTGTGCTACTGTGGCAGAATTGTGCATTTCTGACAAAGATCGCATGACCCACAAAGCTTGACGTATTCAGTCTCTGGCCTTTTACAGACATAGTTTGCTGACCCCCCTGCTCCAGAAAAGTTCTAAAGGGCTTTACTGACTTTAGTGCAGAGGGTAAGACAATTCATTGTTCCACAAGATATAAATTATATTTTACGTGGTAAAATATAACAGCAGGAGCTTTTTAAACCAGTGATTTGAGGTTTGGGTGCAATGCTGTTGAGGATAGGAAGCCAATTACGGTGGACTTTTTCTGCGATGACTCTGGAGAAAAAGTGGATTCAGGTCACGGTTGTGGACACACCAGTGCCAGGAAAGCAGTGACCCTCCTGTAATTGCGCAGGGCTAGAAGGAGCAAAGGAGGTTGGGAGGCGATGAACACTTTACCACCTAGACGTATGGGGCGCTCAGTCTTCCTCCCGTGGGACCACTTCCCGTCGGGCGGAACAGCGTGTGTGTGCGTGTTTATGTGTTGGGAGAGGTTTCCCACTGTATACACCCCCACAATACGCTGTCCCAGGGTCCTCCTGTCCACACATGGAGAAATAGAGCGTGAGCGCCGCACTGTAGCCATGTACCATGGGGATGGCTTGGTGGGCCATGGGCACCACGGGCGATGAACCAGCCTCTGAGCACCTTGGTGTGAAATGGAGGAGGGAGAGAGAGTGGTCAGTCTCTTTGGTCCAAATGGCTGGACCGAAGAGATCTGGGCCCAGTGTAGCCAGCCCATTCAGGGTCCCTATTTGTTTCATCTCTGACTGCTCCTTGTCCTGACAGGAAGCTGTGTTCAGCTGGAGTTGAAATCTAACTCAGATAGGTCTGTGAGGCCAAGCACGACGGTGAGTGGGAACCCAGGAGAGAGTGAGGTCTGTGGAAGGGCGTGTGAGAGGAAAACATGGCGGCTTTGTCCCCCGTGTCATGTAACACCGTTGTCTTACTCTGGGGGAAAGGACGTGAGAGAGTAAAGGCAGGGAGAGATTAAATGGATGCATTTTCTCATCCAGATATTGTTTAGGAGACTGTGAGAAGTTTGTAGACAAGCTGATGACTCTTGGCTGGTCACTCTGGCTGGACAGAGGGAAAACTTCGTTCAGGTCTAAAGAGTAGAAATAGGGAATGTGGAGAGAGAACACAAGTTACAACCACTTAAAAGCTGGCCTGAGAGTTAAGCCCCGTGATACGTTGTTACAGAACAAGCCTTAGCCAACAGGTGGATCAGGTGGATCTTTGAAGTATTCCTGGAAGATAGAGTATTTAATGAAATCTCAACATAGAGGCTCCTGCCACGTTAGGGAGTTTGAGTTTATTCTTGGCATCTGGAATTTGCAGCAAAATTGGCATGTGATGCAAGTTCCCTGTTTTTGAAGCCAGTGCAGATTCATAAATATTTTAAAAATAGAATGTGATGGGTGCGTGTCTGAGATAGGCAGGACTCCCTTTGCAGCCGAGAGCTGACAAGCTCGGTTTGGAAGTTGAGAATGCAGGAGAGGGGAGCTCAGGGTGAGGTGGGGAAAGATGGGTGGTTTGGAGATGAGAACAAACTTTTTTTTCCCTTTCTACTTTCATCTCTCTTTTCCTTAATTTTCCTTTCAACATGCCTCTTCTCAACTTTACCTGGAACTGGGGGGCAGGTTGGGATAGGTTACCCAAACTGGGAGCTCCTTCCACCTGGCGCTGTGTTCTGTGGACCCCTAGTGGCCACAGGGGGAATGTCATGAAGCTTGTGTGCATTTTCTGGGCTGTTTGAACCATAGAATTCTGGACCAAAAAACATCTTAAAAAGTTTCTCTTTCCAGTTTAATCATGGCTTTGTGTTTTTCTTAAGTCCTTCAGGTTCTCGACCTTCAACACCTAAAAGCGATTCAGAATTGGTCAGTAAGGCCACCGATAGGACGATGCAGAAGAATAACCTAGAAATGCTTTGGCTTTGGGGAGAATTGCCACAAGCAGCAAAGGTAAGTTTTTCTCCCCCCCTCAGCCCTGCTCTACATCGAAGATAGTTTCTAAAAACATGAAATGGGCACAATCTTTTCTTTCACAAAGTTTTGTTTCATATTCCAGTCTATCAAAAGAATCTTGAATATATTACTATAAAAATTTTTCCTAACATTGTAAAGCTTCTAGAAGATGCTCCAGCTTCTTGTATCCCCAGTAAATATTTGTAACATGAGTGAATGAGTGAGTAAACATTGAAAGCATTCCTATTAAGAATCTCGATGGGCAACTCTGTGGAGGGAAGATCTGTTGAGGTAGAGTTGTGGACTCTTTCCTTTTCTGGGTTATATTTAGCTTTCATGGACAACGCTGATTTCTCTGCCCACAAGCTATAGTGCTGACCCAGCCAGCCATCTTTACAAGCTCATGTCATTTGTTGCTGGAGAAATGGCATGGAAGTGAAAGTGCTAACCCATCACTTCTTCTGGCAAAACGCTTCCAACCACAGACGGGCCATAGCATTGTTTTCATTGTGCTAGAGCCGTGAGATCGAATACAGGAACGAATACCCTCCCTCTCCTGTCCAACCCCAGAAATTGCATTTTGGTTTTTGTTTGGATAAATCTTTTCCCTAACTGGACACTCCTTGGAGAAGTAGAATCGGAAATGCTAATTTCCGACTTACGGGGGAAACCACTTATTCACTTAGTTTTGTGGGTAGACTTTATTAAAACATAGCTGTGTACAGAAAAATGCCCGGATTGTAAGTGCACAGATTGGAACATTTTCACACTGTGAATGTGTCCACGGGACTTGCACCCAGAGAGAAGCAGGGCTTAATCAGCCACTCGAAAGCCCCACCCTTTGCAGGTACCGCTCAAACTGCCCGCCCGCCCCCCGAAGGATAAACGTCCTCCTGCCTCTCACAGCAGAGATGAGCTTGGCAACCTTCATCATGCTATTGTGTGTAATTGTAGTTCACTTGTCATTGCTGTGAACTACCCATCCTGTGAATAACTTCCCGTTCTATGGATGGACATTGAGTACTTGAGCTACTTCTGTTTGTTGGCCTTTACTGATCCCACTTTATTCTCTTTGGCATTTGATGTTTTATATGAAAGTTCATTTGTTTTGGAACTGGTGTTCTGCTCTTTAGAGTCTTTTGGCAGAAGGGAAATCACCGGGTGACTCCTGAGGCTTAACTGTCTCTCTGCGAAATGGGCCGACAGTTGTGCAGATTGTTAATGGGTTAACTGTTTTTCTTCGGTTAACACCTTTTTTCTCTTCGCCCACGCTCTGACCATTCTGTCTGTCTGTCTCTGCCCCTTCGACATAGTCCTCTCCACACAAGATGAAAGACTGCAGCCCATTAAACAGTAGAAAAATCTGTGATAAGATGCACTTTCAGACCATCCAGAGTGAGTCTTCCGATGCGTTTAGTGACCAGTCGCCAACCCTGGCCAGGCCTCCCGTGCTGCCCGTTCCAGAGTCGGGCAAGCCTCCCATGGAGATGCAGTTTGTGAACGAAGAAGATGTCGAGGCCTTGGGGGCGGCAGCCCCGCCTTTATCTACGATCGAAGAACCCAAACCCCTCTCTGCCAGCGTAGCCCCGACGGCAAGCAAGACAGATTCTCCTTCCAGGAAAAAAGGTGGGAAGGCCCGTGCGCCCTAGCTCCTTCTGTGCAGACTTGGTGCTCTGCACATTCCCGATCCTTCCCTTGGAGGTCCCTAGTGCATCAAGGGGGAAGCTGGACCGGGACAGCTTTCTGCGGAAGGTGTTAGCAGAATTTAGTTATAGAATCAGACCGAAGGAACCCTTGGGGCGGGTGTCATGAGCCCCCTCACTTTCTAGATCCGGGCGCTAGGATCCAGAGGCATGACGTCTTTTTCACCCACTTGGGCCTCCAGAGGAAGTTGATTATTGAGCTAATCCTGGTCTCCTCGCCCCCTGCCCCCAGTTTCTGTCTAGCACGTTGCCCAGTTTTAATTTCTGCATGCTGCATATCACTGTTTCGGGGGATCACTTGTTTATGTTTTTTTTTTTTTTTTTTTTTGTTCGGGGAACCCCCTACTAGAATATATGTGCTCTGTGATATCAAGAACCTTTTGGTCTGGTTTACCTGTGTTTCCTCTGTGCTCAGAATAGTCAGTGCTCTGTAATGGCCGGTGGAATACACACCTGGTGGTGTGTCAGGAGGGGTGACGTCAAGCCTGCTCAGTTAACCACGTGGTGTGGTGCAGTTTTCTAGATTTGTGTGAACCAGTGACGTAGTTCTCTGGCAGAAGGAAACAGGAAGTCCGCGGTCATGGTGCACAGTGACCGCCGACGCGCCGTGTAGGCCCCCGGGCCTGGGACTATGGGTACCAGGACGTGCTTAATGAAAGCTTTCGTCATTTAATAATGATGGTGGCAATCGCTTCAATAGATTGAGTGCTCAGTACATGTCAGGCACTTCACAGGTGGGGGGCGGAGCTCGGCAAGGTCACGTAGCTCGGTCAGGGGTACGCTCTTAGCAGTGGTGGGGTTGCACGCAGACTTGGTGAGTCGGCCTCCGGAGTCCTGCTGCGCTGCCGACCTCCAGCTCTTGTACTCGTGGGCCAGTGGGGACACTTTGGAGCAAATGTGCACATTGTGTTTAAGTGCTTTCCAGAGCTACTCACAAGTCCATGGAAGACCAGGGCTCTGACTCGACCCGTTTGCTTTTTCAGACAAACGAAGCAGGCATCTTGGTGCTGACGGCGTCTACTTGGATGACCTCACAGATATGGATCCTGAAGTGGCTGCCCTGTATTTTCCCAAAAAGTAAAATTTCTTTTTATTCCTCATATCATTTTCTGTGTTCATCTGTGTGAATCTGGTTTTTCCCCCCTTATATTCGATTGGAAGGTGAGTAACAAAAGGGAGGCTCAGATTGTACTGTGGAAAGCTACCAGTAAATAATGGATTTTCTCTGGAGACACGTGTGTGGATATCTCTGTGTGGCTGGCTTCCCACCTTCTGAACAGGAAGGCAGGCCCCAAGGCCGGCTGCCGGGGTGACGCCACAGTCACGTCACGGGGGGCGGTGGCCCACAACCCCACTCAGTGGCCAAGAGGGGTCAGCTGCACAGCCCGCTCCCTCCCCAGGAGAGAGTCTCCCGTGGCCCCGGAGGGTGGTCGCGAGATCCGTGGCCTCTGAGGACAGCGTGCTTTCCCTGCCGTTCATTTCACGTAGGCTTGGAAGGCGACACGGGGAGGACAGTAGGCTAAAATAATTGCTTCTCTCCCAAGGCAGTTGGTTTCCCTTGTCTGTCTTTGTCACGGTCCTGAGATGAGCGCCTGTGCTACTCTGAGGGCCAGCACGTGGAGGGAGCCATTTGCTGTCTGTGATGTCAGAACATCTCCCCTCTTCCTTCTCCCAGCGGAGATCCTTCCGGACTCTCCAAACCCGCCAGTGACAACGGGGCCCGGTCTGCCAACCAGTCCCCGCAGTCCGTGGGCAGCTCTGGCATCGACAGCGGCGTGGAGAGCACGTCGGACAGCCTGAGGGACCTGCCATCCATCGCCATCTCCCTGTGCGGGGGCCTCAGCGACAATCGGGAGATAACCAAAGGTACAGCCTGGGAGCCAGGCCCTGGAGCCCATCTTCGGGCCATGAGCGCCCTCGTGTGGCCAGTGGCCAGAACGTCCGGAAGCCCGGGCCTCTCTAGTTCATGTCCAAAGTCACTATTCACTTGGCTGGGTTCCTGAGAGCACAGACAGCTCATTGCAGCTCAGGGCCCAAATGCTGCTGGCCTGCAGGTGGCTGACCTGAGGGCTCGGGGCCACTTGTCGTGAGGCGTGTTTGCTGAGCATGATGTGTGTCTCCTTCCCTGTGCCTGTCCTGCAGAGGTGCCCTCTGGAGCCTACAGCCCAGTGGGAGTGTCAGGGTTATGGGGACACAGGGCACTGGAAGTGTCAGAAAGGCCGTGGGGTCTTGAGGAGGGAGGGACGTCTGAGTTTGAGCACGTTCAGGGGCCTTTGCCAGCTGGATCTCAAGGGTGCTCATAGGCTTGGCGTCGGTGGCGAGTTAATTTGTAGTGTCCATCAAATTCAGAACGATGGTTTCCCAGTATCTCCTGACAGCGACGTGGTGAGGTGGCCCCAAGGCCCCCGATGGATGCATCAACCATCACCAACTGATGAATTCCTCGAGTGGCCTTAGTGGCCCTGAGTCTCCCTCTACCACCCCTCCCACCTCCACTGTTCTCTCTTTTTCATCATGCTTCCCCCCGCCCCACAATGGTCTGTTTTTCTCGCCGGGAAGGGGTGAGGCTGTGCACTTCATCCCCTCGCCACTCGGGAGCCACTCTCTTCCCTTCCTGCCCTGAGCTGCCATCCTAGACTCCTGTCTCTCCTGAAGCCCCGCAGGGCTCTGTGAAGTTCTTCTCACACAAAAGCTGGGGCCCCTTATTCCGGAACCTGAACCAGCTAATCCGTCACCTGGTGCTGAACTGAACATTAAGTTTCTTAATGTGATCCAGCTGATTTAGTCCATCACAGGAGGTCTTTCTAAGCCCCCCACCCCTCTAATAACCAGCCACGTTGTTTCCAAATCTCTGTCACCAACCACTCTGGGGCCTGGAAGCGGTGAGCACACTCTGTGGGCCAGGAAGCGGTGTGAGAAGGCTGGTGTGCAATGGCACCCCCTCCGGTGCACTTGCGCACTGAGTGTCCTTTCACGGGGGTCCATACGGATGAGGTCAGATTCCCGTGACCAGGAGCCCCCGAGGCGGGTACCTCGTGGTATGAATTAGGATTCCAAAGGTACACGCCGTGCCAGTGCGGGTGGGCGTCTGACCAAGGGGTCTTTTCTACTGGACATGTGTGACTCCCGGTGTCCAGGGTCGGCTGGGTCTTGGTTCCATCCGGGGTTTATTGGACCCCCTTAGGGAAGGAGTGGGGACCAATTAGAGCCAGAGAGGTGGTCAGAACCCTCATCAAGGCTCCAGCCAGGGCCAGCCGAATGGGGGATGTCGAATGGAGGCCAGAGCTCGTTGCAGAAGCCAGAGTCAGGGCTAAGGTCCAGGGCCTCTGGCCCTGTGGCCTTCCTGCCTCCCGGAATGTGGTGGGGCTGGGTCAGGAGGCCAGGCCTCACGCTGTCTTCCGCACTTCCTACACGTGACAGTGACCAGCACCTCACCCACTGACATGGAGTGAGCCCTTGCTTTAGGCAGGACATTGTGCTTCCCAGCCTCATAGTCACCGAGGAAGCAGGTGTGGTTCTTAATCCCCACGTTACAGACGAGGGAACCGAGGCTTGGGGAGATTAAGTACTTGCTCAACACAAGCTCACACCAATAAATGTGACTGAAACTGCGTGGCCTGGTTTCTGAATCTACTTACCAGTCACCTGCTTCTGTAGATGCATAGGGAGACTGCATTTTCCACACACCTGCTCCCTGCCTCACTGCCTGGACATACGCTTGCCCCACGTCCTCGGACTGCCCCCAGCTGCCCTTCATTTCTGCACAGACACTGCCCCCAAACTAACTCAGGCCCCTTTACAAATACGTTTGAAGAATTGTCTATACAGCTGGAATGCATAGGCTCCCAGAAAACACTTGTGAATGAGTGAGGGAAACCTAAACCTATTTTTTTGAACAAAATATTCCTTCTATTTTCTCCTTGTTCCCTATGATTGCTTTCACAGATGCGTTTCTGGAGCAAGCCGTGTCGTATCAACAGTTTGTGGACAACCCGGCTCTCATTGATGACCCCAATCTTGTGGTGAAGATCGGGAATAAGTAGGTTCCTATTGAAAGTCATTTTGGCTGCCTCAGGGTACTGTTTGCACTTCAGTTTTTCAAAAGCAGAGACACAGACAGTAAACCTTAGAAATATGTAAGATGAAGTCTTTGTTAAAATTTATTATTATCTCTTCATTCTTGGCAAAATACCGTGTTGTTATATAGTTGGTAGGTTGGTGTAACTGTCAATCGTGTGGGTTTTAATATTCATCTGTACTGGATTTTCTTAAAAAGATGTATTTATTTATTTTAGAGACAGAAAGAGAGCATGAGCAGGAGGGACAGAGGGAGAGGGAGACGGAGGACCTCAAGCAGACTCCCTGCTGAGCGCAGAGCCTGGTGCGGGGCTTGATCTCACAACCCTGAGATCACGACCTGAGCCGAAAGCAAGAGTGGGGCACTTAGCCGACTATGCCACCCAGGTGGCCCCGTACTAGATTTTATAATGGAATGCATCCGGTCTCGGCCCTTGGCCTGTGAGCCTCAGGCCCGCGTTGTCCGTGGGCTTCACAGCATAGACTGCTTGTCTACCCCGTGAAGGTTTCGGTGTCTGAGGTCAGGGGATGTGCAGGTGTTTTTGTAGACTGTCAGCAAACTTTTCTCCCTGAGAGGAAGTCAAGGGTGTTTAGGTATTAACTTGGGGTACCTAGTTGCCTTTTCCATGAAGTATGGCAAGAAATGCCTTCAGCACGTCAGTGGCTTGATGCGCCACGGAGCTCGGGCTCACCTCCAGCTGGCCGCGGGGGGTCTCCCACCGCCTCTGTCGGTCTCTGCTTGGCCCCCGAGAGCGGCTGCTGTGGGGTCAGCAGGGTGAGGGGCAAATGGGGGAGGGCCGGGGTGTTGGCAACAGCATTGGGCTCATTAAGGACCCAGCCGGGGTTCCAGAGCTTTCCTTGACTGTTTCTCGTGACGTTAGGAAGATTTTTCAGTCCGAGCCTTGGTCTTTGACATCTATGTCATTTTTCCACATCAGATACTATAACTGGACGACAGCAGCACCTCTGCTCCTGGCAATGCAGGCCTTCCAGAAACCTTTGCCAAAGGTGAGCTTGAACATGAGGCAGAAGAGGTGGCACTAAATACCATAGGCAGACTAATCTGGGCGGTTGGAATTTAACTTTTACTTTAGAACCACAATGTTAATTACATTACATTCTTTTGAAGTTCATGGTTATAGAGGTCAGGGGCTTGGAATCTGCCTCTCTTGCACCCTGAAGGTCCTTCCCCTTCCTGCTTATCAGGGCGAAACCTCCCAGTCCCGAGTCCTGCCTCTTCCGGGGCTCCTTTCCCGACACCTGCTGTGCTAGGGACGTAGGTGGGGGCAGAGTGGGTAGATGCCCGGAGGTCAGAGCCCAGGGGTGGCGAGGGGACGAGAGAGAAGGGCTGGAGCCGATGGCAGTGTGGGTGCAGGGAGACAGAGCGTCAGATGTCAGCCAGGAAGCAAGCCCCGGGCCTCACTGGCCGAGGAGGGGAGAGCGCAGGGCCGGCAGTCCCTAGCCGCACGAGAGGGCAGGTGGTGGCCGTGGGAAGAGGCAGGGTTAGAAGGGCAGGCGGGCCGCTGTAGCCCCCCCCATGCTGTCGTGCTCCCCCGAGGTCTCCCCGGACACTCGGCCTGGAATTGTTCAGTTTTTCCACCTTCTATCTTCCTACTGGATTATACATTCTTTCTGCTGCAAAGACCACGTCTTAACCTTGTCTCCCTCATCCGCTCAGCAAGAGCTTCGTGCGGTTTGGATATTGTAGCCATCAGATAGTTGTGATATCCGAGGTTGATATCCGAGGTTCTTGAAAGTCTGCTCTGACTTTGTTGGGCCCATGCTCACGTCTTCCTGCGCGTGTGCGTGTGCGCATGTGCGGGCTGCGGCCGGGGGGGTGGGGGTTGCGTGTGTGTGCTTGGATGTGCACGTACCTGTGTGGGTAGTGTTTGGGGTTTGGAGATTGTGACCTCCTCTGTGGTGGTACTTTATCTGAGGTCTTGTTTTCCTCCCTGGTTTTGTTTTGTCTCTGCTGGCTTCCCTGTCCCCTCATGGTATTCATGGCCCAGGATAAATTATTATGTTACATTTCTCAGCTCTTAACAAATCAAAGGAAAAAGACCAATGCAATAGAAATATCCTTTAACTTAAAGGGGTTTAGCTCACAAAAGATGTGTGCATGGCTCCTAAGCTGAGGCTTTGTGATATCCTTTACAAGCTGTCAGTAAGTCCTTGACTCTGCTTATGGTGTTTCTTAATGTAGAATTAGTTTTATATGTAGAATTTGTCCATCCTTTAAGGCTGTTGGGTCTTGTATCACACTTAGAATGGCCCTGCTTCCCCATTTCTGAAACTTGTGAAAATATGCTAGCTTTCCCCCTGGTACTTTCTTTTTCTTCTTTTTTCTTTTTTATATAGGTTCCCTGCCTAGCGTGGAGCCCAATGCGGGGCTTGAACTCACGATCCTGAGATCAAAACTTGAGCTGAGATCAAGAGTCAGATGCTTAACCCCCTGAGCCACCCAGGCGCGCTACCCTAGTACTTTCTTAAATCTCTGATCTGTCTAGGTTTTATTTTGTGAGTGAGTGAGTGAGGTATCAGGAACCAAATCAGTTCTTTCCCAGCTGGTTACTGAATCATGATGCTTTGTAGGAAACAGAATGACTATGGGTAGCTTGAATAATAAGGGTTTGTTCTCTGACATAGTAAGAATCTTTGAGGTTGGTAGTTTCAGGGTTAGCTTCTCCGTGATTGTCTTGGCTTTCCCTTTATGATCACAAGGTGGCTGTCCCCCACATCATCCTCTCCAACAGCCACACCCCAAATAGGAAGGATGAGACAGACTTCTCACATTTCATTGGCTACAACTTGGTCACATGATCACCTCCAACTGGCAAAACAGTAGAATGAACGTGAATGGCGTAGATGAAGCGAGGTCCAAACATATTGCACCTGATTCCTAAACAGAGTTTTGGATGTGTTGGCAGGAAAGAAAGGGGATGATGTGCCCAGGGAGGCAAGTACCCGGGCCTGGCATAGCTACCTAATTATCTGAGTACCTTTTGTTAGATAACTCTTTTCCCCACTGATAGGCGGTTATAGCTACAGTGTGTATGCTATTTCTTCATGAATTTAGATTCATTTCTGGACTTTGTCTTCTGTTCCATGTATATGTTTACTCATGTACCAACATGCATTCTTATAATTACGATAGCTTTTCAATATATTTTAATATCTAGTAAGACTCATACCTACCTAATAATACCCTTCTGTCTGTGAGTTTTCTTGGCTATTTTTATTTGTTTTATAAATGAACTTTAGAATCGCTTTGTCTAGGTATGAAAATAATCCTAACTAGTTTTTTTTCCTTTAACTGGGGTTTTGTTACATTTATGGATGAATTTAGGACGAATAGGGTAATCGACATCTGTACACGTTATCCTCTTTATGAATAGGTTACTCATGGTTTTCTTTTCCGTGTACTCAGTTTCTTTTGTATCAAATAGGGGCTTTTAAATGATAACAAGAAGCACAATAGGTGAAATATGTGAATTTTTTTCTCTCTCACTTAACCTGAAGCCTGTTTGGTCAAAAGATGTAAATTGTTCTTTTGTTACTAGCGGGGGTGGGTGTCCGTTCCCTGATAGTTCTGTGAACCAAGGAAGGGAGAGGAGATACTGTTTACCTGGTGCTGGAATTCGCCTCAAGATAGACATTTTCTTCTTCGGAAATTTTCTTTTAGAAAATTATTAATTAATATTTAATCTTCCCCCATTAAACTTTGATTTCTTTAGGGCGTGGGTATGAGTTTTCTTTTTAATACTTGAGGTTTTGACCCAAATGCATCTACTAAGGTTCAGTTTGTCCCAATTTGGCGGTTTACATTTACTAAAGAGATCCTGTACATTTTACTCTTTGTTTAAAACCATTTTACCCTCTAATCCATGTTAATCATTTCATTTTTTTCTTTTATAATCATCATACTGAGAGTAACAGTAGTTTAACCAGTAAATCACTTTAATTTGAAAACCTCTGGTCTTAACTAATCACTAATGATTTTCAATGCTTTCTTTTTCTGTTGTTGTCGTGTTGTATTTTATTTGTTGTTTGTTTATTCCTTTAACATCTTCTTAAGTCTTCATGCTTAAGTTATCTTCATGTGGTTTTGGACGCCATTAGGTTTTGCTTCTCGAAAATTTTTAGTCCACAAATAGTATGTTGTGTTTTCTCTGATTTTTTTTTTTTTAATCTTACTTTAATTTGCGCGTGTGTGTCTTTTGGTTTGATGTGCTAAGTTGATCTTTTTTTGGTTCCATTATTTATGTTACCATCCATTTAAAACAGGCCACTGTGGAATCTATCATGAGGGATAAGATGCCCAGAAAGGGAGGAAGATGGTGGTTTTCATGGAGGGGAAGAAATACCACAATCAAAGAGGTAAGCATGGAAAACAAAAGGGTGTTTCTACTTAGCTCAGCCAGTTTGGGGGTTTGTGTAGTGGAGTGTGTTTTCATGCTTGTATGTCAGAGAAATAAGCACAAGCCATAATGCTGAGTTTTCACGAGCTAGCTCTGCGTTGAAGCAGGGAAAGGCATCCCAGAATGTAGGGAAGGTACAGAGGAAGGGGAGGTGTGGGTTTACCTCCCGACCCTGTTACCTGGCTGGGAGCCCATGGCCAAGTCACCGCCTCTTTGGAATTTCTTCATCTGTCGAAAGAAGGGATTCAATCTGATAGTTTAATTTTCTTTTTTAAGTTAAGTATCTTCTTGCTGCTTGTGAGTATAACTGTAATGAGGCAATACTTAGAGTGGTAGACTAATTCTCATCAGTGCTTTCACTTAAATGGTGTGTCTAAATATGCATGACTTTGGTGTCCCTTTACATAAATGCCTGTACTTTTTTCCAGGTCTCTGTCAGCCTCTTCACCTATTTCTTGAAGCACTTTCCTTGCTTGACTTCCATGCCCCTGTGTTCGCCTGGCATTCTTCCTCCCAAGGCTGGCCCCACTCTGGCTCTGCCCCCACAGGGGGGTCGTTGGGCGTTGTCCTAGGGTTTTATCTTCTGCTTGGACCACCTACCTTTCCCTAGGCAACCCCACTCACCCATGTTTGATTTCCAAACCATTCTTTTGTATTTCCTGTCCGTTTATCAAGCAGCCAGCACTGTGGACATCTCCATGTGAATACTTCAAGACACTTCGAACTGGGTCGTTTCCAAGATTGAACTCACGGTTTTCTCGTGAATTCTTCCTTTGTTGGACCATAGTCAGAAAATGGTGCCAGTGTCCCTCCGCGGGCTAGACCCTTCCTTTTTCCTCATTTCTCACATTCGGTTCATCACCACGCCCTATCAATTTACCATCTTAAATATTTCTCAGACGTATCCATCTCTCTCCAGTTCCACTCCCCCACATGTAGGCTAGCACCGTCTGTCCCAGGATTGCTTCCTGTGGTCCACTGGTCTCTTCTTGCCCTCTCCTTTTCAGCCTCTATAATGTAGTTGCATTAGTTGATGTAGGATACTGGTCCAATTTATGTTATTCCTTCCTTAGAAGCTTTTGGGTTCCCAGGGCTCTCCTAATTAGGACCGATATCCTTACCATGGTCCACTGTGTTTGTGTATCATAGCCCCTGCCTCCCTCTTTAGCCCTTTTTTGCCCTTCTACCCCCCGCCCCCCCCGTTTTAGCTTCCCTGGCTGAATGTGCACTCTACCCCAGGACTTTTGCATATGCCGTTTCCTCTGCCTGGTGTTCCTAGGACCCCTTTACCACCCCCTTCACTTAATTAACTCGCGTCTCAAAAGACTCTTTCTCAGCAGATTAGTCTGGGCTGCCGTTCTCTGTTCTCATAGTCCCGCCCGGGACTGCGGGAAACGCTTTCATACATTTTTGTCAGGTTTGTAATCGTACACATATTAGCGTGACTATTTGATTAACATCTCTTTCTCCTCCACATCCTAAACTCCAGGAAGGCAGAGACCATGTCTGGCTCTGATCCCTCAATATCCCTGGTGCCCATATTGGACACATAAGAGGGGTTTGGTGAACATTTGAGGGAATGCTGATTACTTCTGGCATATAGTGCAAGGAAACCCCAAGGACAGCAGTCAAGTTGGTTATTATAATACTGACAGAAACCCCAGTGAGCTCAATGTATTTATTGCATGAGTTCAAAGGGAAAAAGTCTGGTGGAAGGGTTTTGTCAAGATAACGTTCTTTCACATTTTCTTAGCATATCCAAGTTTTACCGATTACCCCGTTATCTTCAAGGGGTATAAACAAGTTGGACCAAACATCTGCTTTACTTGAGGTGACTTAAAACATAAAGGGCCTTTCTAGTTCCCTTACTAGAGAGTAGAATGTTCTAGAATTTAGGCAGAGGGCTATTTCCTATTTCAAAGGCCTGTTTATTGTAGGGTATTCACGTTGTCACCAGTTTGAATTAAGGGGAATGCCAGCATGAAGGAACAGTTATGAAATTAAATATTTCTTAAAAAAACTGAAATACATTTATTTCAGACAGATATATATATTTGAACTTGTCTAATAAAGAATTGTTGATAGTGGTGGCTAAGTTACCTCAATACATAGATTAAAAATTACTGAGTATATTGTCACATCAGTTATTTGTGTGCTTATCAAAAGCTAAAGAATGTTTGGAAATAGTTTGTGCTCATCCTGTGTTAAGATGGTCACACTGATATATTATTTATTTCACTCGTTTTCTTTACTAACATTGAAAACATTAACCTACCTCCTGACCAAATGATCCCAAGTGATGGGATTTAACTGCACATCCTTTGTCCTTGGGCAGTTCTGTTTGATGACTTCCCATGAAGTCTGTGGGGCCGGTGGGTGTCTTCTCCTCCCTGGCCTGCTGTGGGCCAGGCTCTGTGTGTGTGTGTGTGTGTGTGTGTGTGTGTGTGCGCGCGTGCGCGCGCAGCTTCTCTGTGGTCCTCACAGCAGCGTTAGGAGATGGATGTTATCCCTGCCCCTGCTTCATAGGTGAGGAGACAAGGCTCTGGAAGGTTCCAGGACTTGCCCAGATCTCACAGAGTTTCAGAGCTCTTTCCAGTACACTGAAGGAGCATTTTCTATTAAGAGTGTGTGGTGTTGAGAAAGAGAGAAGGCGTCCACGTTTTCCCAAGCAAAATATGGCGTGAAAATATTTTTGAGCATTTCTATCAGCAATTAAAAGAAAATATTTTGAAAATATTCGGGTATCCAGGCAGCCCTTGATCAAGCATTTGCATAAGCTCCAGTGATTATGAAGTTTGGTTTGGTGCCACAAACACTTATGGAAAACAGACTCATTTCTGTCAAAAAAATTTTCTCAGCTTAATTGAACGCTTCCAAGCCAAAGGAATGACTGGGACCTGCCATGCCTGGGGCATGTAATGCTGGGGACGGCATTGGGGGCCCTGCCCCGGGCTTAGGGGAGCCCGTCGTGGGACCCCAGCAGTGTCGTGCAGGTCCTTCTCTTTGGTACCCCGTGACTCTTTCTTGTCTCCTTCTCCAGGAAAGTAAGCCGGAGCAGTGCTTGGCTGGAAAGAGCCACAGCACCGGGGAGCAGCCGTCGGCGCTCAGCACGCCCACCAGGTACAGCGCCAGTCCACGTGGGCTGTTGCGGCCCCTTTCTGCGTCCCAGGGCATGGCACGTGCCTGCCAGGTGCTGATGGGGTTCACCGAATATACAGGCAGACCTGGCTTGCAGCCCTGGCTCTGTGTTTGCTCAACGACCTGGAGCCATTTACCTCACGTGGTTTCCCGTGATCGATCGAATGGAGGCAGTTGCCCCCTTGGACGTCTACCTGGCAAAGTAAACGCGAGGCCTCAGTGAGGTCACGGAACTTGAGTGCTGCTCAGGGTCCTGGTGTGTGATGGCCCCCGACATACAGAATACAACGGCAGTTATGCTGCTGCTGCTGCTGACCATGATGACGACAAAATGAGTGTTAACGGCAGCGTGGAAATGAGTTTCTTTCTGAAGGAAATTGCCTTTCTCTATGGTTTCTATACTTACAGGGGCTTATGTTGATACTTTTCTAAGTATTGATATGGATTCATATGGACTTGGCGACTGATCAATACTATTAATGTTTTGTCTTCAGGTTAATCTGCTTGTACGGGATTTGAGGGTAACTCTGATCTGAGGGCAAAGCCTTCGCGCACTAGTTATGATGCTAATAATGTATATCATTGCCGAATGAGCTGATGTAGCACCTTTTACATATCACCTTACCTTTAGAGTATCCCTGTGCTTAAGCAAGCCAGGATTGCCTTCCTTATTTAGCCGGCAGAAAATACTAAGATGCATATCTTAATAATTTTTGTATCGTAGAGGCTAAGCCAATGCCTGACGCATAGTGGGCACTTCATGAGTATTATTGAGCTATTACTGAATTGGTAAGTTTTTCCCAACACACTGTTGATTCATAGGAGAGGCAGGCTCCGAGTGCACGTCCTCAGCCTCCTGGCCATAGCTCTGCCTTGTCAGCTATTTTAGTTCTAGAATCCTCTGCGGAAATAGAAACCCATAGAGGAGGAAGTAGGAAGAAATCTGGTTTCTTCATTGTTCTGTGTGTAGAAGAATGTGCAGGACCTTTTGAAGATGACTCCCTAAGAGGCCTCGCCAGCTCTCGGCTGGAGTATTACTGGGGGCACCCTTGCTGGTTCCCATGGGGGGGGGCCCTGGCACTGCTGGTTCCCATGGGACCCTCTGCCTCTCTACACTGGAGAGGGAAGCGGGGTTGGCTTTTCAGTTTTTCGCCTTCCATCTCTGGCTCGTTCTCTGGAAAAGGGCGTTCAGGCATGGTTTTCTGGATACCTTCCCAACCTGGAATGTTGAGTGTGACTTTGCGGGAGCTCGGTAGGGAGAAGGAGGGTGTGTTCTAGACGGAGCGCAGGCTGCGGATGGGCTGTCCTGTGCGGGGACGTGCACAGCAGGCGGGCTGGAAGCCAATGGACTGTTGGTGGGGTCGTCGTTCACGCCCACGAGTGGGCAGCAGTCCGTAAGCAGAAGGCTTGGGAGTCAGGCGGACCTGGTTTGGAATCCTGGCTTTGGGGAAACTGGTTTCCGTATCTGAGCAGAGGAACAGGTGTGATGTTCATGTCCAGAGCAGCAGGGGAGGCAGCCCAGGAGAGAGGTAGCGCCGTGGGGGGGACGCGGGCAGAGGCCTCAGCCCACCTGTCCTGAGCATTTAAACCAGCAGTTTAGCTGCACTGGAAACATCCTGCTGTCCTGGAATTCTTTTCAAGAACCCTGTCTGTCCTAGCCACAATTTCCAAACACGAGAGGCAGCATGAGCAGGACACAGAGCAGAGGCTTTGTCAGCTTTCTGTGTGAGCTTTGGTGAATTTGTCAGCCCCACGGTGTCTCCTCCTCCATCTGTAAAATGGGGCTAAGAATGATACCAACCCCACGTATATCAGCTGATTTAATTCTCATGGCATCTTCACGAGAAAGGAGACCAGAACGCAAAACCCCACAGGGCCACACAGGAGGGGTGCTTCCGGCAGCCACACAGGAGGCGGCTCTCGGGGGACCTGGCCCAAGGTTGAAAAGGCACAGAATGTGGGGCGCCTAGGTGGCTCAGTTAGTTAAGTGGCTGCCTCTAGATTTTGGCTCAGGTCATGATCTCAGGGTCCTGGGATCAAGCCCCGCATAGGACTCCAAGCTCAGCGGGACGCCTGCTTGAGATTCTCTCTCCCTCTCCTTCTGCCCCATCCCTTGTGTGCACACACTCTCTCTCTTTCTAGAATAAATAAATCAATCTTAAAAAAAAAAAAGGCACGGAAGGTGACAACAGCTGACAGTGTGGCACACAGCGGCATCTGCTACTGGTCGGGCCTCTCCCCTTGCCAGCAGCCACGTGGAGGACCAGGGAGGACCCTGGGGGGCTGGGGGTGGGGTGATGAGCAGCAAGACCCCAGGGCGGCTCCTCCTGAGCTGCGGCATCAGCCGGCGAGGTTCATCTGAAGCATCACCGATTTTCTTACCATCTGATACGATCCTCTTCAAATGTTGGCACAGATGCTATTCCCAGCCAACTAGAAATCATCCAGGACTGTTCACTGTTGCAAGTTAGTCACGCCGCACTTCTTATTAAACCTGGAAAGTGAAGCATTGACTCCTGTGAGAAGGAATTGAGATTTTGAAAGGTATTAACATAGAGTTCTTTGGAGAAATGGAAGTCTTTTAATTTTTACTGGCATCTTAGACGCTGAGCCTCCCAATTGGATCCGTGCAGCCGATGGAGAGAAGGCGTTGGAGTGCTCTCCTAATTGACAGGCTTGATTGACAGAGCAGTCCCTGAAGTCTCCTAATTGAGCAAAATGCTTGTCACCACACAAATCATTAAAGTACTATTTGAAAAATGTGCACGGTGACAAGTGCTAAGTTAGATGTTGTTCACAGCTACTCTCTGAACACAGACTTTCAAGTGAGATGAGCCCTTTTGTTTGTTGGTTGCTTCTTGGCGGCGGTGTAAAGCGGGCACCAGCTCCCGAGCCCTCGCAAGCGTGGGGGCCGGGGCTTGGGCTCGGGCAGGGGGCCGGTTCTGTGCGGGGTGGCAGAGTCCTCAGATGCCGCATCCTTGCCCTAAGCTGGCTCTCCCAGCAGCCAAGTGTACGACTCCCGTTGCAGTGTTTGGGTCTGTTTTCCCTCAAACATGGCGTGCTGCACGGGGTTGGTGGGTTTCTTTTTTTTTTTTTTTTAAGCAGCAAATGGAAAGGAACAGTGATTCTGCCTTGCTTCCTCACCCTCTGAGCAGAGGCACACATCCGTGTGGTGTCATGAGAGCTTTGGTTCACATTTGGATCTCAGTTCGCTCCAGACTGGTTGGTCGGAGCAGAACCGTTTCCCGATTCAGTGAGGGACCTGCAGCCTGGTCTCTCTCTGGGTTCCCGCCTGGGCACATGTCTGGCCGGGTCGGCTCCAGGACTATGTCTTCCCCAACGGGAAATCTGTGGGTCATAGGTTCAGAAGAACCGGCATCGTTCGCTAGAGTCGGGCGGGGGGGGGGGGAAACCAGAAATTCTGTTGCTTTGAAACATGTCATTGTCCAGAGACGAGCGAGAGGCCCCGAGAGGAATTCTCCAGTCATGAGGACTTCAGTGAGTGGGGCTCATGTCTCCCAGTCTGGCTCTTTCTGTCTGTTACCTGCCTGTACCCTGAGTGTGTTGGTGGGTGTGATGCGGTTTGCTCCTCTACATTTTGAGATAAGGAAACCAGGGCAGAAAGGAGAGCAGTCTGTGAGGGTAACAAGCTGATTCCTGTGGGGTTCCAGCCTGGGCTTCTCAGGTTCTAACCCCCAGGCCGTTTTCACTGTACCTAGAAACACAGTGTCACGGGTTAGATTCATGTGCACGTAGCCTGGCCCTGCCATGTACCAAGCAGGACACTAGCCATCACGCTCTGTCCTTCTTCGTGGACACAGCGACCTGTCCCCATGGCTCATTCCCCACAGTCACCGTATCCTGGTGGTGGCCGAGTCTGCTTTCCCATCAGAGCACGTATCCTGCTGTGTTGTGAAGGTTTAGACAAAGCGCCTGGGGAGAGCAGGGGCCGGTCTGTCTGCCGTATCGACGGCGGCCGGCACAGCGCAACGAGCATGAGGTGGATGAGCTCCAGTCGGCCAGCCTGCAGCCCACAGTCTCCCTCTCGTGGGGCTGGGGCAGCAGGTGCTTAGGGAAGGGCCCCTCATTCTAGATGTGGAAAGAGGCCCGTCTCCTCTTAGAAATAGCAGAGAAGTGGGTGCTGTGTCCTCCCTCATGTCTCCCTAGTTTGGGATGGTCCTGGATTGTAGGGACTGCTCTGGAAGGAACACATGGGATGAGAAAGCAACAGGCTGCACGGGAAGCGGAAGGGAGGTGGGGGAGAATGGGAGGCTGGAGGAGGCCGGAAGACAAGGGGCACTTGAGCATTGAGAGGTCAGAGCACATTGAGATAAAAAGATAAAACAGAGCTCCCACACGTGTCGGTCTTGCATAAAGGGATGTCCCGAGCAGGAAGCTTTGCAGGGAGGTGTGCACCTGAGGATGGGATGTGCCTGCCTGGGGCCGACTCAGCCCTTTCCACTCAGCCTTAACAGACACTTTGTAACTTTGTATAGTGGCAAGACATTTTTGAAGGTAATGGTCTCAGGGAGCAGAGCTGATGCTGCTGGGTTGGGGATTATGCTATAGCAGGATGTTGATTGAGGGAACAACCAATAGGCTTTATAAGAGCTGGTTAAAGAAAGAGAGCCTGCTTCCCACCTGCAACCCCCAGCCCTTCACCAAACGGAGAATTCTGGAAGAGTCGGGAGCATTGGCCCCGTGTGTTCTGCACAGGCAGATGACGTGCGTAGTCCTTGCCCGTGGGACAGCCTGCTCAGGGCTTCCGGAGGAGGACTGATACCTTCCTTGTCTTCACCTGGTAGGGAGTCCTACAGTTACTTAGTTTTTTGGAGATGGGTGTTTGGAGAGGTATAAACAGAACTGATCACTCAGGATGTGTAGAAATTTGGACTTCTTCTTGGCCTGCAGCCTTACACCCGGAACAGAAGAGAATGTTTACAGGCATCCTCCTTGGGAGGAGGGAGCTTAACCCTGTTTATCAGGAAGAAGCAGCGTCTTGGTTTAAAATAGAGTGATGATAGCTAGGAAATAGGGAAGTGAATGAGGAGCGGCAGCCCCAGATAAATAATGCAGGAGGCATATGAATGGGAGTTAGTGAGCATTCATTGATAAATGTAATGGCATATGGTAAATGACCACCCGAGAGACAGTACTCGGGAGAGACCCGATTGACTCTGTCATTGATTCTGGCCTAATGCATTTTTCATGGCTACCCAGATGCATTTCCTAATTGGTGATTACATCACTCTGTGTTCCAGAATAAAGCATGAATCATCCTCCAGTGATGAAGAGCACACAGCTGCCAAACCATCAAGTGCAAGCCACCTCCCTCTGTTGTCCAGTGTCAGCTACAGGAAGACCCTTCGGCTCACTTCAGAGCAACTGGTGTGTGTGTCGCTCCTCCCTCGCCGGGTTCACAGGCACTGGCCGTGGCGTGGCCACCCAGACTCAGCGGCCTGGTGGTCTGGGTGCCCCTCCTGCTCTCCAGCCCGGCCTCAGCCCCTGGCCAGGCCGACCCCACGGCCTCGCTTCCCCTTTGTCTTCCCTGGTGTAGCCCTGGAGCTTTCAAGTGTTGGAGGAGGGCAGCCTGAGGAAGCTAATTTATCCTTAGATGTAAATGACTGATAGACCCGAATCTCACAGGCTCTTTCCATTTTTAGAGAGATGTTTGTCGACTCAAGGGCATCTCCTAAATTGGGGGAAATCAAACACTTGTGCTGGGGTTTAGAGAGTTTCAGGTGGAAGGGGGCCATCATGGTCACAGTGTCCTCTTCTGTGGGGGTGTACCATCAGTTTTAGTCAGACCCTTCTTTCCCTGGACCTTGTTTCCCATGAACAGCCAGTGAGCAAGTATCCTCCCTCTTTTGCTTTTATCCTAAGAATGAGTGGGGGGCCAGGCTAAGCTGTGATGGTGTTCATGGGAAAGGGTCAGGCCAGACCCCCACTTAACGCCACCAGCACGTCCCTCAGCCTGGCAGCCTCTGTGCAGTTGTGTGGCACGTGGCTCAGGCCAGCGATGCTGGGGGCACCTGGGGTTAGGCAGCCAGCTGGCATGCACGAGGGGGTCCCCGCAATGAGATGCAAAACTGCCAAAAAGGTAATTTTGCTTTCCGGATCTGTTGTGAATTCCTTGGGTCTGCGGTTACTCAGGAAAACATGTTTCCGCACTTGGCCTTGTCTCCCCCGTTGTGGCCCTTCATGTTTATTCACGGAGTAGTAAGTGTGTCCTGTTCTGAAGGTGGGATTCCCGTGGCGAGCCTCCCAGCCTGTCATTCAACCCTGCAGGAAGAGGGTGAGCTTGCCTTACAGGGGGGGCCTGTGGGGAGAGCTGGGTTCAGGTGGCCCAAATCCTGGAAAGAACCATCCTCATCTGTAGGCAGAAGTATAATAGCGGCCCAGGGTCAGTGAGTTTACAAAATAGTACTAATCTAGCGTCTCATGGAATGGAATCCAAATAGCCCTCAGTCTGGGCCTTTCCCTCAAGTGGACACATGGCTCATCTTTTTCAGAAAAGCTTGAAGTTGAAGAACGGCCCCAACGACGTGGTGTTCAGCGTGACCACACAGTACCAAGGCACGTGTCGCTGCGAAGGCACCATCTATCTGTGGAACTGGGACGACAAAGTCATCATCTCAGACATCGATGGGACCATCACCAGGTAGGTCCGGCCGCCTCAGGGGCCATGGGCGAGTTCACCTTCCTGTAGGGCCCCGGGGCCTGGGTCCGGCATCTCCCATTCTCTGTGGTGCCGTGGGGCTCATGCAGTTCCGTTTCTGGTGCAGCTGTGGAATCTTCGATCTTTGCCCTAAACGGCCGTAGTTGGGGTGTGGTGCTTGTTTCCCAGATGTTGCTCATGTGGATGCTTCCCAGGAGCGTCTTTTCAGATGCCCTTTCCGCTTTGATTTAGCAAGTCACAGACTTGATGCGTGATCAGCGAGAAGGTGCCCTTTCGTGTGTTCATGTATCCCTCTGTGATCATTCTCCTCTGATTACTCTAGGTTTGCGCTTTCTCTCCAGCAAGTAAGTCATGGGTCTTGTTGGCATATCTTATGAGGTGTTTCTGGTACAGTGAATTGGAATGGGCTTTCTCCCCTGTTGTCATGCCCCTTTTATTCTATTTTTCTCATTTCTATCTTTATTTAGATCAGATACTCTTGGCCACATTCTGCCCACCCTGGGCAAGGATTGGACCCACCAGGGCATCGCTAAGCTGTACCATAAAGTGAGCCAGTAAGTACCGGGCGCCTGCCCCCATCTCCCGTGTGCTGTTGGTGCGTGCATGACACTCTGCCCGCGGAACCTTGACCTTGAACGTGACTTGCAAGAGGAATGCACCTCAGTCAAGCGGGGTCAGTGGGGGTGTGGAGGATTCTGAGAACACAGTGAGTGCTCATCCCGCCAACTCCCAAGTGTGAATTCAGTGCCAAGAGACAAGAAAGGAAGTGATAGGAGACTCCAAAACTGTTGGCCGGACAAGGGTGGCGGCGTGAGGGGAGGGCTTGAGATTCAGTTCCTACTGAGGACCCATCTCCTCAGATGAGGTGAGGTAATGGTCCTCGGATAGCTGCCCAGCCATGTAGTTTAGGCCGAAGAGGTGCAGATTCCAGGCAGGTTTTAGCTGCGGTGCTCATCTTGTCCGCCGGCCTGGCGGGTCCTCTGCTGTGTGGCCACAGCGCAGGACAGTGCCTGCTCTGTACCCTCTCACCGGCATGCCCAGGTGGGAGGGTAGATCTTAAATTGCTGTCCTGTGTCGGGCACGTGTTACTTCACTTACTAGCTTTTCAAAATTACTATAAGAATTAATATCATTAGTTCCCTCAGAACTGGTGGGTCCGCATTCCCTTAGTTGCTGACAGGAGGCAGGGCACCTTCAGCCCTGGTCTGTCTCTGAGGTCAGGGGCCGTCGGGGTCTCTCCCTCCCCGCACTGGCTCGTCACTTTCTCCATCTTTCTGTGGACTAGAGTCTCCTCATCCGCAAAAACTCTACCCCTAATGCTTTCTGTTCTGCAGCCACTTGGGCTGGAAGGTGCCTCAGGCCAGCGCAGGACAGCCCCTCCTTTCCCTGGCTGAGGAAGGTGAGGAATTACATAGTGGAGGTCAGGCCGGAAAACCGGGCCCATGATTCCCAAGCTGATGTGCTCACCTCTGGCCCACGTCGGTGACAGTTGGGGGGTGGGGGCTGGGCACTCAGAGCTATGCCCGTATTCTGTGAGCACGGATGAACGAAGCATACTTTCCTGCCCCTCGTTCATTCACTTACCCAGCATTTGTTGGGTGCCTGTTGTGTGCTCAGCCCAGTGACAGGTGCTTGGGATGTCACGAAGTGGACATGGCGTCTGGCCGCCTGGGCCTCACGCTGCAGTGGGGGTGGGGTGGCTGGGATGGGGCCTCGTACCCTGGTGGGACTGAGAGCGTCTGATCTCTTAGATGCCCCGCTCATTGGCTTGACCTCACTTTTCCAGATTTCCTCTTCAAAAAATTACAAAAGTAATACATGCTTCTTTAAAAAAATGAAGAGAAATAAGAAAAATGAGAGAGATTTGAGAGTAGAAAGGTTGTGTCTTCCTCTCGGCCCTACCGCCAGGCTAACCCACTCCCTGATGTGGAGCCGCCGTGAACAGTTTGGTTCTGTCTCGGTGTCCTTAAAATCCATTTCCGCTCTCCCCACGCCCCCCCGGACACCCACGCACGCCTCCATGATTTAGTAATATGTCTTTCTGTTTCATTACGTGTAAGATTTACCTCATTCTCCAGTGTGGCACATGCTGTATAATATGGATAAACTGTACTGTATCTAACTAGTCCTCTGTTGATGCATGGAGGAGGGAGTTTCCAGTTTCTTCACTAGGTCCAAGACTGATGTCCTAAGCACTTACATAGAGTGTTTATCATGTGTGATGAGCCTATAAATAAATAAAGAAGGCGCACACACGTAGGGAGGGTCTGCTGTCAAGTGGATTCCCAGAAGTAGAATTGATGGTCAGAGGATGAATGCATTTGAACTTCTGAACAATAGATCCAGATTGCCCTCTGCAAAGGTACACCCCATCTGCAGTCTTGTGGATGGTGTGTGTGCTGGTCCCTTTCCCCACAGCCTCACCGTGGCTGACCTCTCTCTCGTTGAGAAGGATTAATCCACTGAGGAGCTGCCTGGACTTGCACGACACTGAAGATTGCATCTATTTTTAGCTGGAAGAAGCCCTCATGAGTCAGGATACCGAGAAGCTCACAGCCTGAATCATTTTGGGCTTTGGAACATAAATCTACTCCTTTTCTTACTGTACATTAAAAAAAGAAAAAAGGGCACAGTTGCATTTTTTTTTTCTTCCCCAGAAAAGCTACCTCTTTGGGAAGTAAAGTAGGGTAGCTTACCAGAGAACACCTGAACATTCTTGACTTTGACCAATGGGCATACGGGGAGTGAGGTCTGTCAGTGAGGGTCTGTGATGAGTGCAGAATACTTCCTGCATTTTCAGTTCGGTTGAGAGGAAGGAGCTTGATGTTTATTCATCCACTGAGTTTGGTGTGTGTCCTCAGTGCACCCAGACAGGCCAGTGACGGTCAGAGTTTCCGGAGCGATCGGTGCAAACACGGTTTGGCCGTGGCCTTCAGGGGCCTGCACTGAGCGCCTCTGGGCGGAGGTGCAGGCTCCTTTCTCGGCCTTCTGCTAGGGTAGGCCCTTACTTCCCGACTTTCTCCCCAGACCTTCTTGCTGTAATCCAGGTCCACGCTTCGTTTTCCCATATTCCCACCTACACTCAAACAATGGCTTCTGCCTGCCATGCCTGTACCTCTGATTTTTGCCTCAGCATTTTTCAGCTTGTGATGCCCAGCGCAGACGCCATAGTCCTCACCATGCCTTCCCAGAGTTGGCAATCCCGGGCAGCTCTTACTTACCTCCTGACTGAGCTCTTTGTGGACGCCCAGGGCTCGGCCTGGCTTGTTGGGAGTGCTAGTGCAGGTGGGCTCACTGTGATGCTCCTGTGGCTGACTGTCGGTTCGAGGGAACCCCCATCCTGGCAGCGCCCCACATGCTTCCTCCTCCAGGGCCCTGGGCGGCCGCCACAGGACAGGGGCAGGGACTCAGGACTGGTCACGGTGTGGACTCCCTCTTCTCGTGAGTACAGGTCATTCGTTTCATGTCCTCCTGTGATTGCCCGCAGGCCTAGGTAGAGAGAGCTTTAGCATGCTGGAGTACTAAGAACGTGATGCTGTTAACTTCAGGATTTGGGGACTGATCACTCTGTCTTCACCCTGCTTTTTCTGAACTTAGGCTGCACTTAAATTTTAGGCACTGCAGTATTTATCTAATGGAAAAACCAGTCTTGCAGATAGCCTCTTGCCTGAAAACAACAGAGAATGAGGGCCATTTTATTTATTTTTTTTGCCAAATGTAATTACCTATTTGAATACAGTCAGCTGTGAGAAATTATCTTTAGGGCTGATTGTCACCTTGGTCATCGAGAGGGTAGAAAATAGCTTGCTTGGTTATTGATTAAAAAGAAGGGGTGCCTGGGTGGCTCAGTCGGTTAGGCGTCAGACTCTTGGTTTCAGCTCAGGTCATGATCTCAGGGTCGTGAGATCAAGCGCCGAGTCGGGCTCCGCGCTGAGCATGGAGCCTGCTTGAGATTCTCTCTCTCCCCCTGCCCCTCCCATGTCCTCACCTGCACTCTCTCGAAAAACAAAACAAAACAAAACAAAAAACCAACGATAACAAATACCAGTGGAAGACATGAAGCCCTCCCTCCCATTCAAATATATTTAGTAAGTACAAGGAAAGTAAGGGACTGTTTCCTAAAATATCTAGATCATTGAGCCAGTGGGTCTTTTGGGGGCCAACTCTGGACAATAATTGCTCTGATTTTGCACCTTACTGGGTGCATATTTTTTATATTGGTGTAACTAAAAATTGGTGTGGGTGCGACAACGTGGCGACAACGAATGCTGTGGCCTGAAGAGGGCGCCGTGTGAAGCCAGGATGCCGAAAGCGGAAATCCTAATTAGCCGACTCGGTAGGATCTCTTTTCTCCTGCCCATAGCGCTTGTGCTCTCCTCCACTCGAGGTCTTCTGAGGTGACTGGGGGGTCGGGGGGCCTGGGTTCTGAAGGTGACAGCCCTTAGCTCACCCTGGATGTGCAGACCTCGTCCCCACTCCCAGTTTTGGTTTCCTCATCTCTAAGATGGGAAAATTAGGCCTTGTGATCCCTGCCAGGCCAGAAGCTTGGTGCCGCGGGTCGCAGGCTTGCGGTCACCAGGCTGTGTGCTGTAGCGGGGTGAACTTTTCCAAGCCGGGCCTCCGGGAGAACCCCGGGACTGAGCAGACTCTGATTGCAAACCTGCGCACCAGGGGCTGTTGTGGGTGCAGTACGGGCTGCAGGCGCCCCTCTCCCAGGGAGCTCGGGGTCCTGTAGAAGCAGATAGCACCCCTGTCATGAGGCAGTGAGGGCGTCACGCGCTGAGATGCAGATTTCTCATACGGACGTGAGGGAGAAATTAATTCTGATCGGAGGGACGAGAACTCCAAGGTGGTTTCAAGGAGGAGGGGGCGCTCGAGCTGAGCCTTGCTGGGCAAGCAGGGTTTCAAGAGAAGCACACTTGTCATGGGAGGTGGGGCTGAGAGCTGAGCCTGTGCGTGGTGAACATGAAAGGGGGGCTCCGGGCAGGGGGCCTTGGAGGCCGGGCTGAGCACAAGTCTGAGTTTGGCATAGAGCCTTCCATCCTTAAGGGGGCGGGTGATTTTCCTTCCTCGAGGCCTGAATAGGGGCTACGGAGGTCCTTTTTTCTACAACAGTGCTCCCAACTGAGGGCGATTTTGGCCTCCAGGGACCCATGGCAATGTCTGGAGACGTTTCTGGTGGTCCCTCCTGGGGCGTGTCACGGACACCTAGCAGGTAGAGGCCGGGACTGCTGCCTAGATATCCCACAGTGTGGCATTGTTGGGGCTTCTGCCCTGCCCCCCAACAATTATTTATCCAGTCCAAGATGTCAGGAGTGGGGAACCTTCAGCCTAGAAGCTTATCTTGGCAAATAGCCCCAAAGATAATCTTTCCAAGCTACTTTAATATCGGCCTGGGCCAAGTGTTTTAAGAGAGATACAGAGGCTGGGACAGATGGAGAAACCGTTAGTTTGAAGCCTGGACGTGGAATGTTCTTCCTTTTTGGCTCTGGTATTTCCCCAAGCCCTGTTGAAGTTGCTGAGATATGAGAGGGTAAGTGTGATCCGTGTGTGTGTCGTAGTCCACGTTTGCTGTCGAGGGTAGGTTTCCCCACGTGTTCTTCTCTTCCCGAAGGGCAGGGCTGGGCCGGCCGCACGTGCATCCCGAGGCCAGCCCGGGCCCAGGGCCGGAGCGCCCGCTGGGGGTGCGTTGACAGGAGGAGCGCATCCTGCCCTTCTGAGTGCAGCGTCTGACCCCAAGCGGCTCACTCGAGAGTGAGCTTTGGTGACTTGGTGCCGTTGAGCATTTGATGGGATCACAGACGGCTTTCATGGGGGTGAAGGCTCTGCTACCAACAAGCATTAACATCCCCCCTGCCCCACACTGGACGTCTTCAAGCTGATTTTCCAGCCAAGTTTAGTAACAGCCTTTGAACAAAGCAGAATACTTGCATGGTGAGAACAAGGCAGTGGCCTGATCAGACCATGAAATGTATTTGAAAATCAAGTTTTGAATAAAATTAGCATCTCAAGCCCCTGCAGGTGGCAGCTTTTAGGAACTTTGATGTGAAGAGCTATATACAGAGTGGGTTTTTTTTTTTTTTTGAAGATTGCATTAATTAGACAGCTAAAATACAAAGATGTTTAATTAAAAAAGTTGCTTGATTTTCAGATGCATTTTTCAGATGCATCCCTGTATTCAAGCTGGTATTTCTGGATTCTCTTCGTCTTAAAACTTTCCTGTTTCCTGGTTTTAAAGAATGTATTTATTAAGCAAGTGTAGAGACGAGTTCCTTGACCAGCATAAAATATCCATGGTGGAACAATAAGCTGGGTTGGAAGTGGGTAGTTTGTATTCGCTCATGTAGCAAATATTTACTAAGTGTCTGTGACTTGCTGAGCACTGTTTTTGGCCCTGGGGTTACAGCAAGGAATGACACAAAGTCCCTGCCCTCGGGGGGCTTATCGATTCATGAGAGATACTGTCAAACAAGGAACTATCCTCTAATATTAGTGATGAGTGCCATTAGGAAAAATAAAGCAGAGCAGAGATTCAGTGTCTGGAGTGAGGGTAAGCGAAGGGTGTGTTTTATTAAATAGAGGGGCAAGGGAAAGGTCCTCTGGGGAGGTGATGTGAGGGGAAGGAGGGAGCGAGCCTGAAGTGTGGGGAACAGTGTTCCAGGCGGGAGGAACAACACGTGCAGGTGCCCAGTGCAGGAATGAGCATGGTGCCTCGCAGGACTGGCAGGGGCACCTTCTGGTAAGCGGGAGTGACAGAGCAGATAGGGTGGGAGGGAGGGGCGGGTACCAGGTCTCGCCAGCCCTGTGGGTCATGGCAAAGAATTTGGATTATATCTGAGGGACATAACAAGATTCTGAAGGGTTTTGAGCACGATATGAGCGGGTTTTGAGTTTTCTTTCTGTGTGCACACTTGGTGTGTGGGGCCAGGAGCTGATTTAGGCTGCTGTGGGAGTAGAGGCAGGAGGCCCTGTCCCAGAGGTGTGCACGAGGACTGTGGCGGTGACAGGGGACTGGGGGGGTGGTTTGGGGTCCTTGTTGGGGTAGAATGAGGAGGCCTGCTGATGTGTGGGGGGCTAGGGGGGGTGGTTCTGAGGAGAAGTAGAAACCCAGGTGGTCCTGAGGTTTGGCCTCACACCTGGGCCAGCGAGAGAGTGCTGCGTGCTGAGTGGGGAGGTCGCGGCAGGAGCGCCTGCGCATGTTTGGCTATGGGTGCATCACGTGGGGGGTACTGTCCTGTACCCCATGAGTAATGGGGGGTTTGCAGCTGCATGCGTTGGCCTGGAGATTGAGAGAGGGGCCTGGACTGGAAGTATAAATTCAGGAGACAGCCATGTATAGATGGTGTTTAAAAATGTTGAGTGTGTTTTATTTAGTCCAGTGTATGGAGACTATTACCATCTAAACATGTAATCAATGTAGAAATTCTTAATGGGATAGATCTTCTATTCTGTTTTTATAGTAAGCCTCTGAAACATGGTATGTATTTTATATTAACAGGACATCTCATTTTGGACACTAAGCTTTCAATGGTTAAAAAACGTGAAATGGAGGCCTAATAAAGTAGTAAAGTTGTGTTTAATAGAAGAATAACCCTGTGATCTGTTTTTCACTCCCAACACTGCGGACACCCAACACATGGGGCCGTCACATGGAGCAGTTCTGAAATTCTGTGTAGAGACCAACTGGGTGTCCAACAATTCAATTCAGGTCTGACCCCAACTACCCGGAGGTAGGGTAGACCCTACAGGTTAGGGGCTCAGGCCCACAAGACAGCTCCCATTTTAGACACTAGCTGCAAGTAGGAGGTCCCTGGCTTACCCCCACTTTTGCCTTACTTGGCTTCAAATCAGGGGTCCCCGCAACCCCTTGTCAGGTTTAATAATTTGCTATAATGGCTTACAGAACTTAGGTAAACACTCCGGTTTATTCTAAAGGATACAAATGAATAGCCAGATGAAGAGGTACATGAGGCGAGGTCTGGAAGGGTCTCCCCTCCATGGGGTTGGGGTGTGTCTCAGCACATGGATGCATTCACCTACCTCTCTGAACCCTGAACCCCATTATTTAGGGTTTTTGTGGAGGTTCATTGATCAAATCATTGGCCATTGGTGATTGAGTTCAATCTCCAGCCCTTCTCCATTTCCCAGGATTTGTGTGTGTGTGGGTGGTGGTGGGGCTGAAAGTACCAACCCTCTGATTGCATGGTTGGTTCCTATGGCAACCAGCCCCGCTCTCCAAGGACCACCTCATTAGCATAAAATCAGGTTGGAGGGAGGGGCTTGTCTCAAATAATAAATGGCTTGTTGCTCAGGAAGTTACAAGGGCTTAGAAGCTCCATGCTGGGATCCGAGAGGAAGACCATGTACATCTGTATTATATCACAGCATCACCAATATCGTATACTGCTTCGGTTTGGACGTGGCATTTAAAGCCTTTGGGGAGTGGGTGTGATCCCCTAGGGAGCCAGGTGCTGAGGAGGATAGTGCCCCCAGGACCCCAGGATTGTGCACGTGGAGCCTGGTTGGAGACAGAGCCAGGGGACCTGTGTGGGAAGCCGAGGGACGGAGGTGTTCCAGAGGAAGGGGTGCTGCTGGGAAGTCTGTCCACATGAGAACTGTGGCATCGCAGGGACTTACGGGGCCAGCGAGGCAGGGGAACGAGTCTGCTTGGAGCGGGTTCTCGGGGTGAGATGTGCAGTCAGTGCAGATACTCAGCCCTTTGAAGGAGTTTTGCTGCCGGGGGGATGGGATTTGGCCTGGAGAGAGGGAAATCCTTCGGTGGGTGCAGGCAGGTCGGCCAGTTGGCACAGAGCCTCAGTTTCCCTAGCAGTGAAGAGGAGGGAAAATACCTACCGGAACGAAATTCTCGAGAGGATTAAAGCAAGTGAGGGAAGCGAAAGTGCTTAGTAAGGGACCGTGAAATGCATTCAGGCTTCGTTCTCAATGCAAAAGAATATTTCTAGAATGTGGCCTTTGGCTGGGGAGGGGAGCGTGCAGCAGTGCCATTCTGTGTGAAACATTCGGGTTAGCGTTTGTGAATGCAGAACCGTTCCGTGGTGTGATGCCATGACACGTGAATGCTTTGTCTCTTTTTCAGAAATGGCTATAAGTTTCTCTACTGTTCTGCACGGGCCATCGGGATGGCAGACATGACGAGGGGCTACCTGCACTGGGTCAATGAGAGGGGCACGGTGCTGCCTCAGGGGCCCCTGCTGCTGAGCCCAAGCAGTCTCTTTTCGGCCTTGCACAGGTATGACACTTGGCCCAGCCACCTCCCGCCCCGGAGCTGCGGGCCCCCCCAGGCCCCCTCGCCTCCTCCCCGGGAAGTGTTGGCGAGAAGAGCCTCTCAACTGCTCTGATGTGACCCATATCCCTGCCCCACAGTGGGCATCAGGAAGGTCACCCTAAAATGCAGGTCTGGCTCTGTTCCCCTGGCCTCACCCTTCATTAGCTCATCATGGCTCTCGGGATCAAGTCCAGATTCATTAGCTCGGCTCACGGGACTCTTCCTGACTTCCCCCTGCCCTCCTTTGCAGTTTTTAAAACTCAGTCACGCTGAACGGTCCCCGTTTTTCCGGAACAGTGTTTCTACTTCAAGCCCGTGCACCTGCTGCCCTCCCTTTGAGGGTGGCTGCCCCACCGGCGTGGCCGGGCTGAGTCCTAACGACTCTGAGAGTCAACTTGCATTCCGTCTAATCGGGGACCTGGGCTGGGTTAAGTGGCCCCTCTACCTGCCACCACCACCTACCTGGCCCTTGGCTCCCAGAGGAGTTGTCCTTTCTGGGAGTTTTAGTCACACATTTTGTTGTTGTTGTTGTTGTTGTTTTTAAAGATTTTATTTATTTGCGAGAGAGTGAGAGAGCAGGAGCAGAGGGGAGGGGCGGAGGGAGAGGGAGAAGCAGGCTCCCCGCTGAGCAGGAGTCCAATGCGGGGTTCGATCCCAGGATCCCGGGATCATGACCTGAGCTGAAGGTAGACGCTTAACTTGCTGAGCCCCCTGGCGCCCCCCACGATTTGGTTTACTGGTCCTCTGATGATCACTAGCCAATGTCTGATTACCCCCCTCCCTTCACCATCACAGCCTAATTCAGAGAAGTTGAGCCAAACTAAGTCTGGTCCCCTGGGGTGGGAGAGGAGAAGACAGGGCTTCCCTGTACCCCGAGGCCCAGGGCAGCTTCCCAGGCTGCTCTCAAAGCATCACCTATTGTGGTTATAACAGGATGTTGGTTCTCCCAAAGGCTGGGTCTAAGTATCAGATGGTTCTGTCTTCAAGACCCAGTGAGAGGCTCTGCCTCAATTTGAGGACCAGCTTAGCTGCTTCTTGCTGCTCCCCATGCAGACAACAGAAAAATCCAGATGGACCCCAAGCACCATGTTGGTTCCTCTTGGGTGTTTTTCTTCAGCTCTGCAGATACCTTTTCCACCGCAGCTTTGTTTTGTGTGATTTGTAATTTGTTTCTTGTGGTAAAAGATCTCACACTGAAACTTGCGCATTCTGGGGAGGAAATTCAGGCAAACCTCTGGATGCCATAGTGTATTTTAAATCCCTAGAGTTGTCCTGAGAGCATAGGCCTCAGTAGAATCCAGATGGTAATGAAATGGGGTCCCTGATGTATGTTGACAGTTTGTAGCAAGCGACTCATTGTCATGTGTTAAGAACTGCAGATTTGCAAGGTGAGGCAAAACATTGACATTATTACTCTAATACCCTACCACTAAATACACATTTAAGGGGATCTTTTTCATTTTTTTCTTATTTAAATACCACTGTCCAAGATCTCTCAAAAGTGATCGATCTTAGACAGTGAGGAATTATTAAACCAAACAAGGACACCTCCCAGTGTGTGTTCCCTCTTGGAGCTGGAGGGGCTCCTGACAGATATGGCCAACAGCCTGGTCCTTCCAGCACCACATTCTAGCCCGAGCCATTCTCTGTGTCAGCCGTCCTGCAGAGCTTCTAGAATTGATGGGCAGGTCTGCCATGAGCCAGAATGACCTTCCCTAGCAAGATGCTTTCATTGGGTGCACTTCTGGTGATACTGCCTGGGTCTCAACTGGAATGAAGGCAAATCCACACAGTGGGTGGAACGCAGTTGGCAGGTGGGGACGGGGAGCCCCAGGCTCTGCTTGGCGACTGGCTGGTGGTGTGACCAGCCGGTGCCTCCCTGTCCTGAGTCTGTGTCCTCAGCTGCCAAATGCGAGGGTTGGATTAGACGACCTCAGGTGTCCCGTTTCAACCCTGAAATGCTATGATTCTAAGAAACATGTCATGTCAGAGAAGTTGAGGGAATCTGTTTCCCACACCTCACCTTTTGGTGCAGGAGCTTCTCCTTTTAAAGTGGAAATTGGCTTTGAGTTTTCGTTACCTGCCCTCTTGTGTTTCGGCGGCAGGGCAATTCAGATCGTTTTCACAAACCTCTGTGAGTACGGCGCATGTTGCTGATACGTGTGGCTCAGTCTCATGGGGGGTAGGGGGGCTCACTGACGACAGGCAACTCGCCTTTGCTAAGCCCCAAGACTAGGTTACTGGGCAGATGTGAAATTCTGGAGTTTGGCAACAACAGAGGCTGGCCTCCAGCTCTGGGAAGGAAGAAGCTGTTTCACAAGTAGCCACGTTTTTCCCTTTGGGGTTTTCTGAGGTGCTCTGAGACTCGGATAAATGACATTTTGTTGTTTGCTGGAGTAAAATTACCTCAAGGGTGAGTTAGGACCAGGGACTGTTTGCACATTCAGGTCACCGAAGACCTAGGCTGTGCCAAGGAGCAATCTGGATGCTCACCTCAGTACTTGTCAGCAGTCCTCATTGCTTCCTCCCGGCGTACCTTACTGCCCACGAGGAGCCTTGCATGGGTGGCACGGGGCCACAGGGCCACGGGTCGTCTCTTACTGGGTACTGCTTACCCGCTCTATATCATGCAGACATCCTTCTCCGCGTGCCACACACTCACACACTTGTGCCCGGGGAGTGTGCTTGAGTGTGTGTGTGTGTGTGTGTGTGTGTGTGTGTGTGTGTGTGTGTGATAGAAATTGCGATTGAAGCAGGAGGCTGAATTTGGATGGTGTCCCCTGAGTGGATTGAAGTTTGAGACTCAATCACAGTCAGCCATAGGGTCCTGAGATACATAATGTAAAACCTAACCATAATGTAAAACACTAAAAGTGTTGCCTTTAGGGAAGGCTCCGGAGTCCACGGAAGTCCCTGCAGAGCCAGGGCCAGCCCTGGGGTCTTGTGACACTCAGGTTGATAGTCTACCACCACCACCACCACCACCACCACCACCACCACCATCATCTAAATTACATTTTGAGTAGGTACAGAAGAATATTTCTAAAACACATGCGAGGTATAAATGATAATCAAATAGTGAACAGCAGTGTACCCACCATTTTGCTAAAGCAAAAGATCCTAGACCCCCCACCCCTCCCCACCGAGTAGTGACGGTAGCCACTCTCCCTGAATCTTGTGTTAATCATTCCCTGCTTTTTAGAACAGTTCTCTCGCATGTATTTGTGATCCTGACCAATATGCTTAATTGTGTGCATATGTGGCCTTTATGTAAACATATCATATGTTCTTCTGGAACTTGCTTTTCTCGCTCAACATTATGTTCCCATGACTGTTGAGTAGAGTTGTGACTCATTGCTTTTACTTCTGTGTGGTATCCTGTTGTAGGACGACCACAGTTTATCCATCCTACTACTGATGGATGCTTGGGTCATTTCCAGGATTTTACCATTAAAAGCAGTGTTTCTTGTGTGTCTGCACTGGGAAACACGGGCACTAGGTGCTCCAAGGTACACACTTAGGATTGGAATTGCTGGCCATAGAGGATGCACATATTTAGCATTACTAGGTCATTCCGAACTGTTTTCCAAAGTAGTTGAACCAATTTATGCACTGACAGTGGGGTATAAGCACTCCCCTTGTTCTGCTTTCTTGCCAACACATTGTCAGCCATTTACATTTTTGCTAGTCTGGTGGGTGTGAAATGTCTCTCTTCGTACGTTTATGGGCCATTTGGGCTTCATCTTCTGTGAAATGCCTGCTCAAGTGTTTTCCCAATTTTCTTTTTGATTTGTGTGTGATGGATTCTATATATGTAGCCTTTCTTATGAGCGTTGCAAAGAGCCTTCCCCAGTTTATGGCTTGTGATGAACATAAATTCTTCTTTTCATGTGCTTGAACATATCATTTCCCCTGTAGTTTGTGCTATTTGTGTATTAAAAACAGCTTCGCTGGCTGTGGGCAGGAAGAGAGGCTCCTATGATTTTATCCAAAGGTGTTGCCTTTCATGTTTAAGTGTGTAATCCACCAGGAATTGATTGTTGCATGTTAAGTGCAGGAGAGGCCCATTTTCTCTCTTTTTTTGGTTTCCCTTCTAGGGTTGTTCAGTTGTACCACCATCATTTGCTGACATGATGGCCCATTTCCTCCTGCTTTGAGTTGTCATTGTGCTCATAAATCAAGTGTCCATAAATGTGTGATTTGGTTTCTGGCCTTTGCTCTTCTTGTGTAATTGTGACGATCAAGTTTTATGAAGACATACAGACAAAATCCCGTCGAGAGGTTGATTGAAATTACAATGAACTGTGCATCAGTTTAAGGAGAGTCAGTATCTCCTTGTAATACTGAGTCTTCCAATTCACCTATATGGTGTATTTTTTCATGTAGGTCTTCCCTAATGTACTTCAATAAAGCTTATAATTTTATCCATAAAAGTCTGGCACATCTTCTGTTAGGTTTATTCCTAGACATTTAAAATTTTAAATTTCTATTTACGGAATTACATTTTTACCAGTTTGTTTCTTCTGATGCATGAAAGTGCAGTTGATTTTTGTACATTAATTTTTTTTACACTGATTTTTATACCCAGCAATCTTATTGATCTCTTATGAATGGTGATTATTCATCTGTAGATTCTCTTTTTTTTAATGTATTTTTTGTGTGTGTGTGAATAGTGACAGTTTTCTTTCCTTCCTTTCCAATCCTCGTAACTAGGTTTTCCTTCCGTCACTGTGCCGGCTACACTGTGTTGGGTTGAAGTGGTGGTAACAGCCACCTGTTGTTTCACTGTTACCTGGGTGTTGTGGGTTTGGAGTATGCCCTGCTATTCCGAGTTTAAGATTTTTCATCTTGATGCGATGTTGAATTGTACCAAACACCCTGTCTATATCTATTAATATGGTATGTTTTCTCCTCCTTCCGTCTGTTAATGGGTTAGACTACATTCATTGGTTTAAAGTGTTGACTTACTCTTGCATTCCTGGAATAATACTTTTGTGCTTTGCTGCTGCAGTCAGTTTGCATATGCCTATTTATTTAGGTTGTTTGCACTGACATTCATGAATGAGATTGGCCCACACTTTGCTCATGCTTTTCTTCTCTCAGTTTTGTTTTTGAGGCTACGTTAGCCTCATAAAACGAGTTTGGAGATGTTCTCTCTTCTCCTACGTCTGGAATTCTTTGTTCCTTGGATGACTGGTGGAGGTCTTTAGTAAAATCATTTGTCCTTAGCATTTTCTTTGTGGGCAGACTTGAAAGTATGGATTCACTGTCTGTGAATTTAGAAATAGTTTGATGCTAATGAAGCTTCTTCTCTCAAGCTGATCCATTATTTATTTATTTGTTTTAACAGAGAAGTGATTGAGAAGAAGCCAGAGAAGTTTAAAGTCCAGTGTTTGACAGACATCAAAAACCTGTTTTTTCCAAACACAGAACCCTTTTATGCTGCTTTTGGAAACCGACCGGCTGTAAGTAGTAGATTGGATATATAAAAGAGCTCTTGAAATTACCGCCTTTCTGACAGCAGTCGTCCGAAAGGTGGGTCTCGACTCCATGGGGAGTCAGATTCCCCTCCCACTAGACATAGCTGTAAGGAGATTTTCAATTAATTATCTCATGGCCTCTAGTTTTCTTTGAAGATTGGCTGGTGGGTTTCAGTCTTAAGCTTGAAATGTGGAACCAGAAACTTCAAATTCCAAATCACTTGCCAGTTTAGTAGAACAAGAACAAAAGGATTAGACTCTTTCTACCAGAAGGGAACCACAAAGCCAGGCCTTAGCACCACGGTGAAATTTGGCATCGCAAGTTTTCAGAACATTGTTGCATATGGTAAAAGAAATGCTTTGAGATTTTATGTGTACTACCCAAATTTGTGGGAGAGTTTAGCATTCTGGATAATATAGTTGGGTACTAACTTCCCAGTAAGAAAATTCCCCTTTTGAAACCCACGCCTGAGAAAATGGGTCAGAGAATAGCCTTAAGGGGTGTAAGAATTGCAGGGGGATGTGGTAGGTTGTTTACTCATTAGCTCAGCTCTCGAACGGATGAGCGCATGAAGGCCCTGAGGGGGAAACGGATTTAATAATTTCACATCCAGACATACTTTTTTCTCTGCACTACTTGGAAGCAGAGTTCTGGTTAATGAAAATTTTATAATATTGCATCAAATCTGAAATATCCCATATTTGTGTTTATAATGCGCTTTTTTCCCCCCTAATTTATACTTTCCCAAATACAGGATGTGTATTCGTATAAGCAAGTAGGAGTGTCTTTGAACAGAATATTTACTGTCAATCCCAAAGGAGAACTTGTACAGGAACATGCAAAGACAAACATCTCCTCGTGAGTACCGTGCACGTTCTGTGGGATTGCTGTGTCCTTACGTTGTTAGAGTCTTGATCTTGGAAACTTGTTTTACAGTTTACACTCTGCCTTTTTGTCCTTTGTTGCCTATACTTTCATCTTTAATTCCTACAAAGGAAATACAGTTTAACTCCTGGTAGTTTGTCCAAAACTTAACTTTTGGACAATCTGCATTAAATCGGGCCCCCTCTGAGTCAACAGTTTAAGCCAGTGGTTAGGTTCTGCTACGGAGTGGAATTGAATGAATTTCAAAACTCGTGGTTTAGATTTGCGAAGTGAGGACTGAAAGCCTAGCGTGCAAATTGGAAATGTAATCGAATTGAAATATCATGTGAAGCTGTGTTTACGGACGAGAAACTCTGTGTGCCTTCACACACTGACCTGCCACACTGCTCTCCCCAGAAATTGTCAGAATTCCTCTCATACTTGTGGTCGGAGCCGAGGCTCCCTGGGCAGTGGGCTGAATTGGGCTCCTGTCTGAAATGAGGCAGCCTGGCCAGCTGTAGAATCTCCCTTGACTTGGGGTGTGCTTCGCTCTGGGTTCCTAACTTGTGAGAGTGGAGAGCATTTCCTCAGGCCTTGTGTCGGTGACCGTTGCCCACCGGGCATTTTAGGTAGATGAGAGATTTAGGTTCCTCCTAGAGCCCATTTTCACTTCCAAGATGATCCTTATGCCCGTTCAAGCTTACTTTAGCCTAAATGGGGGTGGTTGTAGGCTGGAGGGGGCCCGGGGCCCGCCCCACACGCCTCCTTCCCCCAGTCATGGCTGTTCCTAAGCAGTTCTCAAGATATGCTGGGAGAGAGAGGAGGATGGAGCCAAGAGCCTCCTCCATCCTTCAGAACAGGAGGCGGTGCCGGGCCCCCTCCGGGCTGGTGGAACAACAGCAGGGACGGATTGCTTCCTTACCCCGGCCACGTTCAGAGTGGCCCCAACGGCATCGGGGGCACTTCTCTCCTGCATTCCCCAGCGCAGCACCCTCCCACGTGAAAGGGTTTCCTGGTCTGGGGAAGGTCGAAGAGATCTCTCTTCAGGGTCAGAAAGCACCTGAACTGATGAGACACTGCCCAGAAATGGCAGCAACCCGGTGGCAGGTCTGTCACAAGGGATGTGGCAGGAGGGGTCCCGGCCCCCGCGAGGGTTTACCCTGGAGCCCTGTGGGGTTATCCCATTCCTGAGACTCTGGGTTCAGGCGCCTCGGCCCGGGGTGGATCTCTGTGTGGGAGGAACTTGGCGCCTTGTCATCTCATGCTGGGCTAGGACACGAGGCCCTTCCGGGGGGGGGGGGGGGGGGAGTGCCCCTCCATCCCCTGGAGAGCACACGCTCTCCCTGGCTCCAAACTTGGGATGGTCATTTCAGATCCTGGGACACTGTGTTTGAGAAATCAGATGGATAGGAGTCCCGGGCGGACGGGGAGTGTCAGCACTCGCTACCGTGGTTTGTGACCGTCCGTGTGGGAGCTCTGTTTGCTCCCAAGGGCCTGTGTGTGAGAGGGGTGCATATGGGGCCCGGCCAGCACCCAGAGCACTCAGCAGTTTGGATCTGGTGCCTGCCGCACACCCTGACGGCGCGCCATGAACTGTTCCTCACGGGGAGGGGCCGCCTCCCACAGCCACAGAACTCCAAACAGATAGGTCTTCAGGCCAGGAGGTATTTTAAAAATTTGTTTTAATCCCCAGGAAAGACATAATTCTTGCTTGTTAGGGGAGATTTTCCCCATTCTGTGCAAGCATGATGTTCCTTATAAGCCCTTTGCGGGTCCTTTATTAAATACACACTCTCATCCTTAGTTAATAAGGTATTTGATGCCTCAGAACATGCTAATTCCTGGAGTTTGTTTCGAAAGGCTTTTTTGGTTTTTAGCAAATTGGAACTGGAAAAGGACCCTGTGGCTCTCAGGGAGGACTCTGGGGACATGTGGAGAGGTCTGGGCTTGTCAGAATTTCTGGTTGGAGGCGCCCAGAGGTCTGAAAAGGCACGTTCAGTACAGCAACTTTCTTTTTGTAGTATAGGCCAAAGAGACTAAGACGCAACATCTTCTTGGGGAATACACAGAAAACGGAGGGAGAGAATATTGCGGGGAACGTCGAGAAACACCCATCTAGTCCAACTCCATATTCCATAAAGACGAAGGGCCTGAGGCCCAGAGAGGGCAAGACACTTGCCCAAGGTTACACAGCAAGCTTGGTGGGAGTGGATCCTAGGTCTTGTCCCTCGTGCTAGCTAAAGCTTCTTCCCTAAGGCTAATAATTAGCGAGGGTTAATGTTAATAATGGATGTTGAATAAATTCACTGAGCGCCGAATATGAGTGATTTTATTGTCGCATACGTTTATTTAATTCTCATGGGGACACAGGGTCAGTTTTCTTTTCCTTTCCTTTATAGTTGAGGAGATTGTGGTTTAGAAGGGATGAAGCCATTTGCCCAAGGTCACTCAGCTGATAAATGGCAGAGCTGAAGGTCAAGTCTGTGTCTCCTTAGCCCAAGGCCCAGGGTCATTTCCTTGCACAGTGGAGCAGTCTCTGAGGCTTTATCGGTGGTTCTTCCCCCCAGGCTTGGACACCCGCTGTCACGCTGATTTCCTCCCGTCCCCCACCTTCTGCTTGTGCCCCTTCTTCGGTCTTTCAAGCCAAGTCAGGTTCCACCCGCCTCGCCCGTGGGGCCTTCTGTGAGTCCTAGTTGGCACGTTCGTTGATTTCCTGTTAATTAGCGAGGAATCATTCTAGAACAACTGCCAGTGTGTTAAGCAGGGTGGTCTGTTCCCCAGGGCCATGGATCTCTCTTCCAGGCACAGCGCAGGGGACCTGGCCCGGGGTCCCTTGGAGGCAATGACGTTGTCCATTCTCCTTCCAGGTACGTGAGACTCTGTGAAGTGGTTGACCACGTTTTCCCATTGCTGAAAAGAAGCCATTCTTCAGACTTCCCCTGCTCAGATACCTTCAGTAATTTCACCTTTTGGAGAGAGCCATTGCCACCTTTTGAAAACCAGGATGTTCATTCTTCCTCAGCATAAAATGTCGCAAGCCACCTCCTGACATCATGTGAAGACCAGCACCCTTGATTAAAGGACAGGTTTTGGTAGCCACGGAGCAGGGGCTCGGGAGCCTGATGTGCGGTCATTTGCTTAAGAGCAGAGAAATCTGAGGGGCCTTTCTCTCCCTTTCCCGTGGCCCCCAGGGGTGGACTTTTCTAAGTGAAATACAAAGGGTGTACTTTATAGGCGAGGCGTCGGGTGCACTCAGAGCGGGAAGGCATCCCTCGGTGGTGGCTTCAAGCCAGTTGCCGCGCTGCCCCGCCCCGTCCACTCTCGCGGTCCCTTACTGGTTCCCGGGGAGAGGTGGCTGCCAGGGGGTCCCCACCGATGACTGTTCGGTCGAGGCACGCCAGACGCGCGAGACTTTGGTAGAGGAGGGGCCCATTTCCATCCGTGGCAGTGTGTGCTGAGGGGCCCGAGACCTGCCTCTGTGGCTTGGCCTGGGGGTGTCTCCCCGCAGTATTTGCCGACGGGGCTGATGGTGAGGCCATAAATTCTTTAATTCCTTTGATTAAAGATAACCTAGTTGGTATATTTCCCCCCATTTTTGTGGCCCAAGGCTGGAATATCTATGCCTTAATGCATCTGTGGCAGGCGTTTTATTTAGAATGTGCTTTGTCTGCCTCTCTGTAACTTTGCAATGCCTTAAATTCAGATTATAGTAAGCATTCCTAGGGCAGTGCTTGGAATGAGCTCCACACTCTGCCAGCCCCGCTTCTCCAGCCACGTGGTGCTGTCAATGTGGGTTCGAACAGAACTCATGCCATGTGGTGGTGATGTCGATTTTTGTTGGGAGCTCTTGAAAGAAACTAGGTGGTTTTACGAAAATCGCTTCAAGACGTTATGTTCTTTGTAGATACTCTTATTTATTACTTTACTCTGATTGGGTTTATTGTTATGAGCATTTTAGCCGTAGTCTTTCTATTATAACTGTCATGAATACATTAAAACAATAGAGATGTTAGACTATCCGAAGAGCCTTATTCTGTATATCTCATAACACTGACCTTCTTTTGGAGCTTATGGGTAATGCTTTTTATTTTCCTTCGCTTTGCCTGCTCGAGTTAAGGGCAAGTGGATAAGTAATAATTCGAGTGACGTTCTTTACGTTGGCAGAAGATGATTCCTTTACTTGTTTATAAAATTGGCTTCTGGAGAGAACAATTTGAAAAGTGAAAGAACTATTTTGGTAAAAGATTTTGCTTTACTTTTTGAAGTATTATTTTTTTAAAGAGTGTTTTATTCCAATGATTGCAAATACTTTCCTATTTAAATCGCATTGTTAGAGAGTCAGAACCTGCAACAGTTGAATGAAATTTTACTCTTTCTGTGAAAGAAAATCCAGAGGTGTTGCCTTCATTCTAGCTGCTGGCCTCTGATAGCAAGGGGTGCCTTCATGGAACTGTCCGCCAGGCCCGACAGAGAACGGCAAACATGTGTGTGTCGCTGGTCACAGACTTGCCTAGAATCGAAACGCGCATGCACAGATTCCCTTTTGGAGGCATTAAAAATAATTAAAAATAGTTCTGCCTTAACTACTCTGGGCTTGTTCATTAGTGACCTTTAGAGGCTACGTTAAATTCCGTCATGAGGGTACTTCGGGGTGAACTTGAAGTGTTGTGAACTAAGCATAAGGTCACATGCCTGCAGAGGCTGACATAGTTTGTCCCCTGCACTGGGGAGGATCCGGCTTTGAGGAGGGGTGGTGTGTCCTACGTTGTGCCATCCTGCGGTACCCTTCATCAGGACGACCAGCGGCAGTCACTCTCCACGTGGACGTCGGAGAGCTTGCAACCCTGCATTCCTAGTTTTGACGTACCTTACACCTCCGCACCGCTGCACTGCGAAACAGAGCATGCCTTCCAGGAGGTGACACGCTCGGTTGTGTGTCCCCTCTGGCGTGTGACCCCTGGAGGGGCTGTAACATTCACACCTTCCTTGTGGCTTCCGAAAATGAGATTTGTATGTGGCTGCACTCATGCATCTATCAGCTGGTTTTTCTGTATTTACACACTTATTACCCAGTAACCCTGTGGTCATGCTGCGTCTGGACCACACATTTCACAGTTGCCCTGTGGAGATGAGTCCCTCCACGTGGCGTCATCAGATGATCATCCCGTGTGATGAGGGGAAATACACATACCTGGTACATGGACAAATGATTACACCTTCAAAGGGAAACTCCCTCTTCACTTCTAGGTTGAGATCACCACTTTAAATATATTTAATTTACAACACTTGATCTGTATTTGTGTATGCTGGCGCGATGATCCCAATCACTGTAAGCCCCACGGTGTCGTGCTGGCTGCAAAGCTAGAAAACATTGTAATAAAGGAGATGGATGAGCGATTTCTCTGGAAACCAGGCGTGTGAATTTTAAAGTTTTTTGGTAAGTTATTAAGTTGCTTTCTAGTGTGTGATATCAAACATTTTTATTCTCTACTCAAAAAATCCTTAAGGCTATGAACTGCTCAATATTTGGAATAAAAAAGCCAGTCTTCTCCTTTGGTGCAGTACTGACCCTCTGTAAGCATGGGGGAGGGGGGAGGAGGGGAGGCTGGGGGAGGCTGTGTCCGGGGCCCGTCCTTCCGGTGGGAATGACTTGAGAGCAGAGTGGGCTCAGTTAAGTGTGGTGCATGCAGGTTCCTCCAGGGCTTCGCCCATGATCGATGTGTCACACAAGCAGGCTCTGGTCTGTGTTCTTGCATGAGTTGCTCCGTCAGGTGCAGCTGCAAGAGGAGACACAGGAGAGGCTCAGGAAACCGAGTTCATTATACCTGAGTATAATGACATGGGAGGCACTTCATGCTTGCAGTGCCCTGTGGGGAAACACCAGGGTGGTCAGGAGGCAGAAGTGGCTGGAACGAGGTGAGAACCTAGGCCAGAGCCTTCCCTGGGCTTTCCAAAGGAGAGGGTGTCCAACTTGAATTATTTCCATGGCCTCCAAGCTGGGGGGGGGGGTGGTCCCTGGTGGGCCGGTGCCCAGCCCTGGGATGTTTAAGGCAGAGGAATGTTGGCTTCTGGGTGTGCAGACCAGACAGGAGGGCTGGCTCTGGATGGGTCGGTTGGCATGTTACTGGCGAGCCCCAGCTGGGCCCCTGGCTGCCTCTAGGAAGTGGCTAGCCAGTCTCTCCCCAGCCAGAAGGGCTCTCAGATGTCAAAACACTGTAATAAAACACAGAAGATAAAAGTATAAACTGTGCAGTTTCCCTCGTCTCACATTCCCTGTCCTCAGCTTTTGGACTCTTCTCTGTGCTATACCTGACTCATTTCTCTTAAATTTTTATTTAAATTCTGTTTAGCATACAGTGTAGTATTAGTTTCAAAGGTGCAGTTTAGGGATTCAGCACTTAACCTGCGACACTTGGTCAGCAAGTGCCTTCCTTCATCTGGGGGCACCTGGCCAGCTCTCTTGCCTTTTTTTTTTTTTTTTTTTTAAAGATTTTATTTATTTGAGAGACAGAGAATGCGCGCGCGCAGGAGCGGTGTTGGGGAGGGGCAGGGAGCGAGGGACAAGCAGACTCCGAGCTAAGCACAGAGCCCGATGCGGGGCTCGATCTCACCACCCGGAGACTATGACCTGAGCGGAAATCAAGAGTTGGGTGCTTAACCAACTGAGCCACCTAGGAGCCCCGCTCTCTTTTCATTTTGAATGAATCAGTCAAAACCCTTCGCTAGTTCGCACAGATGACTTGAAAACGTCCTAATTCCTATCGATTTTGTGCATCATTGGCATGCCCGAGACATCCTGTGGATTTACCTGCATCAGCCTAAGTGTTTTGGGATAAATGTTTAAGAGTACGGGTCCCTAAACGCATAAAAGACGGCTATCCAGGGCCCCAGGCCGAGCTTCTCGCGAAGCCAGAGCTGAGCAGGCCATCTGGGCGTCTCAGAGTTAATGCTTCTGTATCTTGAAAACAAAACAAGCCCCTTCACGCAGCTGAACATCACAGATTTATTCCACCTCTGATTTCAGACTGTAGACTCTCTTTATCTGTAAAGTAAAAATCAGCATGAGCTGGAGTCTTTGGCCTGGTGATCGCCGCCTGTTCCCACACTTGGCCACTCTCCTCTCAGTGGTCCCACCAGGCTATGCTGTTGCCATTCGGTGCTGTAGGCGGCTCTCACACGCGTGCAGGATAGCTAGTTCAGCAGCTTGAATTTCCCCAGTGTCTCAGCTGTAATCACCTGAATATTTAAAACACTTTCTATGTTGGTCTTCGAAATTGACACAGCCGGCCGGATTCACCAGCCCTTTCACTGGAGCCCGGGGAACACGGACGGTGGGGCCGGTGCCCATGAGCGCTGGGCCTCAGAGCTCCCTCTCCCGCAAAAGGGAATGGCGTGCGGCCCTGGGACATAGTCCTGGTTGTGGAGGAAAGTTAAGCAGGCCTCATTAAAATGAAAAACCGAACTCCTTTGGAATCTGGATTTCCCGGTTGTAGCGGAGTGTTGTTCTAAGCAGCTGTTCAGGGGAGCTGTGTCGTACCACCATCACTCATCCCTCTTCCTCCCTTTGTACGTCTGTACTTTGTCTTCAGACGGGGGCTGGGGGGTGGCTGGGTGGAACGGGACTGCCCTGCTTCCACGGTCCTGGGGGTGGTGGGAGGGCATCCCGTCTCTGCGCCAAACAGAAGTGCTCAAAATGCCCGTCGCGCCTCCCTCCTGCTTCTGATCCCTTTCCCCACTGCTGCTCCAGCCCGAAGCGGGGGGAGCATCCCTGCTGTGGCAGGAAGGCTTGGTGCCCAAAGGAAACCTGAATATGACCTGATTGAAGTGGCCCCTGGGAGCCAGCGGGCCCCGAATGGCCACCTGGGGGCACAGTCAGTTTTGGTTTGGAGGCGCAGCCTTTTTTAAAAACATTGTCCGGGCTTGACAAAGGCCACTCCCCGCAGTGCTTGTCTTGGAGACCAGCCAGGTGTGTTGAGGGCTGGTGGGGCGGGGGAGGAGTGCCCTACGGGGACTGTTTGGGCGCCAAAGTGCCTCCAGAGGGCACAGCCCACGGCCAGACATCACTAACCAGCTCGGAGGAGGGAACAGTTTGTGGGTGATGGCTGTTCAGGTCGAAGAACCACTTAGATCTGTGGGTCTCAGAGCCTGCAGCTCCAGCACCAACCGGAAGCTTGTTAGAAATGCAAGTTCTTGGGCCCGACCCCAGACCCATGACCTGAGCTAATACGTCCTCCTCAGGATTCTGATGCAAGCTCAGGTTCCAGATGACACAGTGGAGGCCCACACTCTGTTCCCAGGGGCTGCCTGGGCACTGTACTAACCTGGCCGGGCCAGAGGGACAGAAAGGAGCTGCTGCAGGAGGAGGCCCCTGGAAACCCACTGCGGGGGCTCGATCGAGTCACGGGGGGCCGTGGGAACCCTCCGAGGCACAGCTGCCAGCCTCAGCCCCCTTCCCAGCATCTCCGTGGGCTGGCGGTAGGGAGGGGGCTCCGCCCGCCGACCGGGCCGGGCAGCTGGGTGCGTGTGAACGGCAGACCTGGGCTGTGCCCAGATTCCTGGTGGCTCCCTTCCTCCCCCAAATTGTGGGAGCCTGGAGGGACTGTCCTGATGCCAGCTAGCTTTTCCCTGGCACAGGAAGTCCATTCAGCCCTGCATTGCCTTTAATGAGTTTTGTAAGCAAGTGGTCTCTTCCGGTGACTCATTCTGCCTTTTGTGCCCCGGAGATTGTGGTTTTAAGTTTCACTTTGGAAAGTAACCACTACTTCTGCTGCTTTCTCCGCTGCTGGAATCTGAACAAGTCACATTCATTTTGCAACAAAGAAATGTAAATGTCCGAGCGCCAGTCATATTTCTGCTCTGATTGTAAAAACATCCTTTTCCGAGATGGATGACAGAGCCAAGCTAAGAAGAAATGGTTTATATGGTTTTCAAGTAACACGTTCACTTGGGAACTTCGTCTTTTTCCTTCCAGAGTGGCTTGATAGTTTTGTTTTTGTTCCTTGTCGTCTTGATTTATATTTCAGGGATATCCTAAAAAATAAACGGCGCTTGCTGATTGAGTGAGGTGGTTAACCTCTGATTTATTGAGAGAGACTTGGTTCTGGACAAAAGTTTGTGTTCTCGCTTTCATGCAGTGCACAAAGGATGATGATAACAGAGATCACAGCTTCTACAGTAAAATCGTTCTCATCTGACTTTGCACAGAACTTCGGTTTATGGTACGTGAACCGATGCATTTCTTAGGACGAGAGGGGGTGCAAAGTGGACAAACCCCATGTGGTATTTTTTTCTCCAAATAATATAGTCGTCTTCAGAACGTTGCAGCAAACTAAATTATTTTTACGTGATTTTGTGTAAATATGTACCAACATAAAACCATAGCCCTTATATAATAATAAACCAAAATGTGTTTAAAATTAATTGCGGCTAAACCTGTAACACTAATAAGACTCAAATGAACACGAACATTATGTGATGGGAAATGGGAGCTAGCGAAATGATGTTGGATTGGGGTTTATGACAGGTATTTGTGTTTTATATTGCATTTGTCAACTCGGTTCTTCCAACTCTTGAGCATGATAGGTCACCCTTCAAATCATTATTAACCCTGCCTTCCACAAAATACAGCAACTGGAAAGTTCTGATCACATGTTTCCATCGACTCTGGCTACGAATGAACTGTTGCAGATTCTTGCGCCCAGGGTGGAAGGCCTTCAGTAAATCGTCTCATAAGATAAATGCGGCACTGACTTGGAAAGGGGGACTCTTGAATTTAGCTGGGGACGGCACTACCCTGACTCCATCGTCCCAGTTTTCTCTCTGACATGCCATAAGACCTCTGTGTGGACATTATCTGCCATCATCTTGTATGCTTAAAGCATCTGTACCCTTAGGGATTGGGGTTTGGGGTGCTCATCACCCTTCTCCCCAAGGTTCTGGCTGATGGAACATGAACTGAATCACATGGGCACTCAGGGGTCAGCTGTACTGTCCAAAGTGACAGAAGTTACCGACATTGCCTGAAGCCAGATTGGGGCTTTTAAATATCTCTTTTCACGTCCAAAGCTGGAGAATTCCTCCTCTCTCTGGCTCCATGGAGGCAGGGGGGGGCTCCCCAAGCAGTCTTCACCCTGGTGTAAGAACACCCTTCGTGCCCGAGCTTGGGAAGGGAGAGAGCCTGCTTCCTGCTTTCGAGCCCGGCCGGCCTGCACTCTGGTCACGGGTACAGAGGCGCCGGGCCCCCACCAACCAGAGCTGCCCCTTCGTGCGGAGGGGAGAGGGGCCGCTGAGCAGAGATCCTGGGGTGGCTGCTTGCAAACCAGCACGGGTGTGGTCACTGTCTAATAATGTGGCCTGAATGTACCTCTATCTGCATGCTTCCGGGAGTCCAGTGGGCAGCTCTGCTTCTAGGGAGTCAAAGCTATTTTGAAACAGTGCATTATGGTTTTGTTTACTTTGGGAGCGAGTTAGGATGGTCAGGTGAGAGCCTTTGCATGGTATTAGGGGGACCCTGGGATGGGAAGTGGCTTTCTCTGGGGGCTGGGGAAACTG